GGGGGGGGGGGAGGGGTCCAGACCCCCTCGACCCTTCCTTTGTCTACGCCACCAGAGCATATATAGTATGCTCTTTTTATGCATATGCATAGTATACCTAGTTTTTTTTTCGCAGCAACAACTAATTGTAAGTTTTAAAATGGTTCCGATAAGTATTTTTTCAATACGATTCTTTCTCTTGATAATAGAAGTATAGGTCAGGAACAGATTTATGAAACAAATCATTATCAAAAGCAAGTTAACTGATTTTTGTGAAAATGAGAGGAATAAAACCAAAATTACAAACTTGCATTGGTGGTTGCTGAGGAGGCCAACTGTGCATCTTTGAAGGAATATTTGGAGATTTGGTGAGATCTGGAGAACTGAACACAGGGGGTATGAATCCTACACTTAAATGTGTGCTCGAAAGAGACGGAATTTCTTCAGAAGGTACAGCAACGGCATGACAGATCAGCCGGAAACGATCCCTCAAAATGCACTATTTGACAACTCTGCCACTTACGGAAGGTAGTAAAATAATTAATAATACCACATGATTCTTACATAAATCCAGGTAAGTAAATTAAATGAGAATATTCAGAAAAAGGTGCCGATAAAGTCACAGGAATATCCAACTGCCGCATTCATAGTTTCAATTTTATTTTTATATTTAATATTGATATTCTTCTTTCTTTTTATCAATTTGATTGAATATACGAAAAGCACCCTATAAGTCTGTAACGACCAAGCATAAATGCAATGAGCAACACATGTTGTTATCACATGCGAAAAAACTGAAGGCGCTGCGCTCTCGGGGCTTTGGATCCTTCAATGCCTAGGTCTGGATACAACTATTCGTGTTCTTGGGATGTCCGTGTTGCATACACGAAAAGTTGCAGGCGCTATGGTTTCCTCAAGCACAGAGCATGGCTGCGAATGTTCGTTCTTAGGTTTTTCTTCGTTGCATTTACATCGAATTTCTTCGTTGCATTACTATATGAAATCTTCGGAGTTAAAAAATGAGCCGTCTTTCTTGACAGCAGAGTTGCTAAATGGTGGAAAATTTCCACCAACAAAATTTCCTCGACGGCATTGCGGATGTCAATCCGCAAATTACTGCCGATAGAATTTCGGCAATTTTTACCATATGGCAAGACTGCCATGGTGCTACACGACTCATCCGAGTTTCGATGACTTCATATGGTAAACGCGATTGTAAATGAAACGTAGAAAACCTTTGAGAACTTACAATCGCAGCCATGCGTTGTGCTTGAGAAAACTAGAGCGCCTGTAATTTTTTGTGTATGCTAGATGGACATCCCTAGAACACGAATAGTTGTATCCACGCCCAGGCATTGAAAAATCCAAAGCCCGGGAGCGCTTTTGATTCTTTTCGTTTGTGATAACAAAAAGTGTTACTTACTGCATTCATAATTGGTCATTGCACACAGATAGGGTGGTTTGAGTATTTGGTAACACGGAGAAAATTAAATTGCTGATTTAACAATTCAATTGCTAAAATAAAGTGACTGCAATGTTTCAATGTAGATTTCACAACACAAACATGCTACTATAACCATCCCCGTGGTTAAGTTAGAGTACAAAATTGGTAAAAGTAGCATTTTTTTGTTGTAAAATCTACGTTGAAACATTGCAGTCACTTTTTTTTAGCAATTGAATTGTTAAATCAGCAATTTAATTTTTCCGTGAAAATTTAAAAAAAAGAAAGAAGTAAATTAATATTAAAAATGAAAATAAAATGGGGCCTATTCATGCGAAAATTAGGTGCTCGCCTGACTACATCGGCACCTATTCCTGATTATTCTCGTTTAATTTATTAGGAAAAATGTAGAAATCGTACCCTATAAGTATGAGTAAGTACCTGCACTTTCTAGCTCCTCGGTCCGTGGTCCGTCTACTGATTTATAATTAATGCGAACTTACAATGATTGGCACAGAGGTATTTAGCCCATTACGCATTACCACAGTGACGCGCGTATCTTGGGCCGCGGAGTAAAATGGGCGACTATTCGTTTTCTACTGCTGTCCATTGCATACTCGGCTAAATGAAGGCGTTTTACATTGCCGGGCAGCTAAGTTTTCCATTAGAACCCACGTCACTTCTCCGCTTTGCTTATTTTACCGGGGAACTGGCATTGCGTAAGTAAGTAACTACGGTAATTGAAGAAATTATATGACGTGCATGCTGAAGACGGGGCAGCAAATCCTTCTTTTCTTTCGTCTGACGACTCAAAGATTGGGTACCTAGTCGTTATCGCGAAACGTTTACGTCGCGAGCTGCCAATTTCCTTAGCCATATGTATGCAAATCGCCCGTGGAAAAAAATATCTCATGATCGGGCATTAAACGGGGATTTTATTGGCATTGGAATTATTGTTTAAAAAATCACAATTTTGTGATAAAATAATGATTTATGTCACTTTTCTTTTAAAAGATATACGATTGAAAAGAAATTAGGAATGCCAAAAATTGATCGAAACACTACGGCGTGTGTGGACCTAAGTCATCTGCGTTGGAGAAGTCATAGTGGCTGGCGCTGTAGGTACTCGCAGGGTGTCTACTAAAACTGGCTGGTAAAAAATAAGTACTTTTACAGTATACTTTTTTAGTACATTCGCGAGAACTTCCGTACCTCTTCCAACAGCTAACTTCCGTACTTTTTCAGTACCTCCATTTGACGAAATTAGAAACATTTCAATAATTTGAAATTGCGACAAAAATGACAAAAAATAAAGAACAAATACCGGACCTTTTTGCGGAATATCCGCACTTTTTCAGTACTTCCAGCCCGCCCTTAAAAATCAGTACTATTTCAGGACTTTTAGACACCCTGTGCGCGGGTTATTTTTGGAAGAAGTTTTTTTTCTGTTTTTCCTCAGAAGATGGACACCAACAAGCGTGGCAGACGAAAAATCGCAATTTTTTGCCGAGCGTCTTTTCGGTGTAAAATCCTAAGAAACCGCTCAGCGGGGGAGGTTATTTTCAGGGGCGGTTTTCCAGCGGAGCTTCGACGCGAATCGAGAATTTGGGGCCGGCCAAAAAACACACCGATAATCGGCGGTGGATCCATAAAAAAGCGGGGTTGGAGGGTGAGCGCGAAGCGTATTGGAATCGGAAGCACGAGCGTGGCTCACCATCTGCGGGCCCGATGGGGGTTCCGATTCGGCGATAGCGATTGGCCGAGCGCTCTTTCCCTCTCTCTCGCTCCCGCGGTGGGATCCCTCACTCGCTCCCATGGCCTCACCTCCCTCGACTCATTTCATCCCTCTCGCACCCAGGCGACGCGGCCTCGCTCCCCCTCGCTCGCGCCGCTTCAGCGGTCTCCCTCTCGCCACTGATAACGCGGTGGCGGTGGCGCTCGAAAATCGATAAAATGCTTGCGCATCAGCTATCGATTTTTCAACGACACACGATTCCGACGACGCCTCCACGATTGGCATTTTCCGTTTTTGATCGGGTGAAATCTCCGTCGTTTCGGCTCCTTTTCGAATTGACGAGCGAAAAATCGCGTCCCTAACCCCTAGTTAAGTCAACATGTGCTTCGCTTCTGGAGGCCTGCGGATGGTGACTGACCAAAGCGCGGGTGAACGGGGATCTTAACTGCCCCGTGAGTGTTTGGTACCTCCCGACGGAAGTGCAGTTTTCCGGGATTTCCTGCAGTGCGGAGTTGTTTCGGGACGTTTGATGGATCTAATGAACGAGGACTGTGCGGAGGATTCGAGAGAGGAAGGTTGTGAGTTTTTTTTACTGTCGTGAGTGTTGACAAAATTTCTTTCGGGATCGAGCAACTGCCAAAATCAAAAGTTTGATTACGAAATACACCTCCTGATTGGGTGCGAAGCTTCAGAGGAAGTATTTTTCTTTTTGTACCTGCGGAAAAGCGTGAAGATAGACGGTGAGTAATACCTGGAGTGGAAAAAATCGAGTTTTCATGACTTTTTGTGAAGTTTTACTCATGAATTTCCTTTTGTTTACCTACTTATTTTCCACTGATCGGTCCTGAGAAATATTATAAAAAATTCCCTCTCTAATTTCTTGGTGAGAGGAGGTAAACAGCATTCTTCTTTTTCTCTCTTATTTTACTACCTAATTTAAAATTTTCATTTTGAAAAAGCTCATTAATTTTCTGGTTAATTGAAATCGACTATTTTGGACTCAAATATATTTTGAAGACCTACGCTATAAAATTCAAATTTTTAAGAGTGTCCGACAGCTTGACTGTATAAATAAATAGAGCTGACATACCGAGCTAATCAATTTTTTTTTTTTTTTTAGGTATAATGTCCAATGATTAGACTCATACATTGGATCTGTAAAGTAAAAATCATGGCAAGATTCAATGGAAACATTGTTGAGGGAGGACTCACACCTGATCATGCTTTATGCAACAATATTTTTTTCATATCGAATTCCTTGTTTGTTGACTAAAAGGAGTGATTTTTCTTGCTTAAATTCATTCTGCAATATGAAATATTTCACTTCCAGGTTCTGCCTAATCTTATTGAACAAATATGAAATTTTTTCTGTTGTTAGATGACAAACTACTTTGCGGAGAACTATCAACTTAAATGGCATAGTCATGGTGTCCATTTGCACTCTTCCGTGGCAAGTTTGCATCGTTCACTCTCCTTTGCTGATGTGACTCTTGTGACCATTGACGGCCGCTGTCTCTCTGCCCATCGATTTATTCTCTCTGCTTGCAGTGCTTACTTCAGTCATTTATTCAACATGCGGCCAGCGTCTACTGCTGGCTCTAACTTAGTTGTTGTTTTACCTACAGAAATAACATACCAGACCCTGTCTATTCTGCTCCAGTACATGTACAGTGGAGAAGCAACTGTTAGCAACGACCAACTTAGTAGTGTTTTAAAAGCTGGTGAACTTCTAAGCATCAGAGGACTATGCTACAATCAGGCTGATGGGAAGAGAGAACAAAAGAAAAGTGAAGGCATCTTAATGCAGCGACGTAATTCCAACCAGTCTGATTCAGAGAGCAGTAAGAAAGACGAAACAACAAAAGAGTTACGGACTGAGAGCTTGTCAAATGATGGCTCCGATGTAGAGAACATGCGAGTGATTGTAGAGAAAGACAAAACGAAAGTGAAGAAGAAAGAAGAGACAGCAGAGAAGCCAATGGACAAAGGGAGCGAGGAAGGAAAAGAGGCAAATGAAAAAGTGAATAAAAAGATAGAGGAGAGCAACAAGGATAACGAGAAGGAAAAGGAACCTACACTTGAGCAGGTTGTAGGGGTGGCGGAGAATATGCAGATTGAGCTGATGATAAAGGAGGAGCCTATTGAATGGAATGACTCTGATGGGAGGATTTCTGGGGAAGATGGTGAAATACGAATGGTGAGTACATAATTAATGTGCGAAGCATCTTACTTTGATACGCATGAATTTTAAATGTATTTTTGCAAAATATTTAGAGATACAACTTAAATAACCTCTGGGCATCATACTCCTTTTGAATTCATTGAAAGTATTATATTATGATCGAAACTTTATTCATGAAAATTTCCATGAATCACTTGAAGTACAGCTAAGATACTTAATCAGTAAAATTCAAAAGAAAAATAGTTTGCAAAAATAAATAAATGAAATCTAAAGAAATCGATGATGTTGTGAGGAAAATTTTAAAGATTGCCGAGAAATGATTTGATAAAGGAATTTTGCCATTGACAGAGTGTAAGACACTTACTTCTGGCCTCCTTTTTTCTCTCTTTAGCGTCTGAAAAATGTAATAAAAAAATAAGTTATGAGAAATTCTTTCTGCTTGAAATGCACAAAGACTCTATAATTATTCAGCTGACTTATTTCACACACAGTGAAAATTACTTACTACATTTTTTTACTAATAAAACAAAGCAAATCAATTATAGAGACAAGCTTAAAATGTTAAATGGAATTATCGGACAATATTTTTACCAGAGTCACCTAAAGAAAGCTGTGAGTAAGTTGAAGTGTTACAAACAACAACTGAGCACACTTCAACTTAATAAACAAAACATAGACAACTGCCTGTGCACTAAACTAATGATGAAATAATCCTCAGCCATTAAGCCACAAAGGAACACATTTCAAGTTTTGCGGTAAATACATACCTACACTAAACTTGTAAAGTCACTTTTCACTTCCAGAGTGTTTGTGGCTAAGTCACCTAAAAATTAGCTTTTACGCAAAAAAAAAAAAAAAAAAAAAAAAAAAAAAAAAAAAAAAAAATTTAATGGTTTGGCACGGAAGTTTTTAATTCATCTACTCACGGACTTTCATAACGTGAATTTATGATAAGGAGCTGCATTGTTTAGAACTAGTACATTCATACATGAGACATTGCAAGTACTTTTTCTACTTCTCAGAGAGGTTAAACTTCCATCATTTGAAATTCCAGGAAATTTATGACGGAGATGAGGCAGAGGAGTCCCATCAATTTTATGCTCCTTTAACTTGTGATATGTGTGGGGAGACTTTCAACACACCTGCCCTCTGGGTGCGACATGTCGAGACTCACCCCGCATCAGAAGTACCACAGCGAAGGAATAAACGATCTTCTGCGGTAAGGACTCTGATTGGAACTCAATAAATGGCTACTTGTATTAATTTACTACAAAAGATATTTTAAATCTTGAACTCATATTTTAGCAAAAATTTAAGAAAACAATTGAATTGGTCTAGATGCCAGAAAAAGCTTTTCAACCATGAGAGAACCGCACGTTTCCTTTCTATTCTCCCCAGAATCTTGCCCAAAGATGGCTTCAATTGCAAAAATTAGCCGTTGAGAACTCTATTTATTTCTTGTATTTTTAACCATCCTTGGCATCAGCCTCTCTCAACAGTTGCTGGTTTTTCTCAGTGAATACTGTGATACGTTTAATCATGTAACATTAATATTTCCAACTTTGCTATTGATCTACTCATGGATAAGCTGACAAGATTTCTTGAATTTCGAAATTTCCTGACTTATCTTAGACATTTTAGCATTTAAGAACATTCAACTCCCTGACTTTTCAATGCTTCTTTCTGGCATTACTTTTTGTAAAACTTATTTTCACAAAGAACTTTTAGTCTATTCAAAGTCTCTTGAAATTAAGAAAATGCTATGTTTTGCTTGAGATGGAAAAATTTGAGGTTCCACAGCCAATTTCCTAACTTTTCCAGGTATCACCTGACTTGTCATGATCTTTGAATATAATGATTGATTACTGACATTAACCAAGAAGCGTTGCTAGGTAAGACAAATGATAGTGCTGTGCTGAGTAGTAAGTGCCAAAAAATATATATTATTTAAATTAATAAATATTGTTCACAGGATGGCACAGCAGAGGACTCAAACGAATTTCCACCCCTTCGGTGTGAGTTGTGCCAAGAGGTGTTCACCGTGCCAGGTGACTGGGTGCGACACATCCAGGAATCACATACAGATGAACAACTAGCTATGAGCAATAACTCGTCAAAACCCCCAGCTTCAGAGCAGTCCACTGCCATGCTAGCGTCATTAAACCAACGGCGAAAACGTATTCTTAACAGCCGGAAGCGGTGTCCTATCTGTGAAAAATCCTTTCCCTCACATGCATCAATGCTCATACACAGTCGTACCCATACAGGCGAGCGACCATATATTTGTGAACACTGTGAGAAGGGCTTTAATGTCAAGAGCAATCTTTTGAGGCACATGAGGACTCTTCATGATCAAATGGTTGTGCCATTGCAATTTTAGTTTATATAATTATGTGACAAGAGTGTTTAAATTATGTTTGCTGAAACTTTTCAGGAAGTGATCACCTATGTAAAAGAAAGCTATTTAAATGCTTCAATTTTATGGAATAGTTAAAATAACTCATTTTGGCTGAAAGAAATGCAAAAAAAAAATAAAAAAATCAATGGTGCATGAAAAATCAAAATTCACTTGTGATATTCCGTTGAATGTCCTAAACTTGAATATCACAAGCAAAATCCCACTTTGAATAATGGTAAAGAATAAGACTATGCAATTGATGAAACATCATTCGACAGGACAGATCTATTTACAAAAGTAGTTTCGAAAAATTGCACATATACCACAGATGAATAATTGACTATACGGGACCGGGTCTGATAAAAGGGACCTTATTATCCGTAACTTTTTTCAAATGTATGGAGGGAGGTAATCTGAAAATTTGGGTGCAAGATTGGCCCTGAAAGCTATGAGTCCTGAAATTCCGAGACAAAAATTCATCGGTTGGAGACAGACTTGGTTTGAGTTTTAGAAAACAGTTAAGGAAAATTATCTCCAGGAAGATATAGTCCCTTTCCTCAGATCTGGTCACATACATTAGTCTTACAATCCCCTTTATAAATAGATCTGTTCTGCTTAATGACGTCCAATACTAAGGTCACTCACCAATCAGATATTGTCATACTTCTAAAAATTCTCACTCCTAACACCCAATATATTGGTGATTCAGTATTCTAAGTTTGACCATGAACTTCGAACTAATCAATTAACTTTACGACTCTTCGTTTCCTGTCTCATTTTCTTGTACATAATTGACTTTTTACTTTCAAAAATAAATCCCTATTTTCTTAAAATATGCTTCAATTTTGTAATATTTGTAAATAACACTAAAACTTGTTGAACTATCATCCATTTTAAAGAATATGTATCACAAAGTGATACTTTTGGAATACACTATTATACTTGAGATTTATCACATGATCTCTGATAGAGATTTACTGTTCTTCAGGATAGATTGTCAACTCCTAGTATACGCCCATTTATGATGTTTTGCCTTCTAGCTAGGAAATCAAAGGCGTTTGTTCAAATTTACATTTTCACATGTGTTTCTGAGAATTTTATCAAGCTAAGCGAAACCAATGGTTTCCTGCGAGACAAGAGATAAATGTAGGAAGACATTTCAGAACATTCTATTCAAGAAAGGTCTATAGAACTGCCTCCTTGAGCAATATCTAATAAGGCATCACTTCTTCATGAAAAATTTTCTTAACTTTAAACTTGATTTACACATTTTATCCATGAATACGATTGGCACAGATAGCACTGTTGTCTGTGAAGGATATTTATTTCCTAAGTGTTAAATTTTATCCAATTTAATCAGTATCGAAAGCAAATCAGTTTGACAATCTAGTCTGAGATGGCTCAAGTTATTAGATATTTATTATCATTCATACTTATTTTGTAAGTGCATGCTGAACTGTAATATACAGATATTTTTTTCTTCTTCATAAGAATGAATCGAATAAAGATCTTTTTCTAATGGTTCTTTTTTTGTACTGCTTCCTTGGCTTAGGTAATCGTAAAGACAATAATAAGATTTTTCAGCAAAATTATGAAATGATAATGAATAGCTCCGAGGTAGAATCAGATGAGCTCATAAAAATATAGAGAAGTTTTGTTTTGTAAATGAGGTGACTAAGATACTTTCATGAAAATTTATTCACCGAGCGTATAAAAAATAACAAAATACATTTACACCGGGCAGACATTTTTTTTAGAATATCTTGCAAAAAGTAGCTGAGGTGATAGGAATTCAAGAATGTGTCTATGAAAAATAAAATTCTAAAAAGTTAGACACAACCGCTTTTGACAGGGCTACAAACTTTAAAAAATAAATAGCCACTGGACTGACTTATACACGTGCAGACTTTTTTTTATCTTTCATCTGAGAATGTACTTGACTAACAGCTGCATAGTTGCCAGTATTGCGGACATTGAACAACTTCAAGTATTCTGTGATGCAGCAAGTACAAATAGAGGTAGGAAGCAAATCAAACAAATGTTTACCTACATGATTACTTAATTCGTGCAATTGTCTGACACTTAACTAAGACGGCAATACATGTAAAAAATTGAATAAAAATATTTACAAATGAGAATTGAGTGCAGTGTCTGCAGAATAGAACTGGGGCAAACTGCTGTGGACAAAAAATAGGAAATTGAGGAGGAACTGTACACCTCACATTGAAATCTGGTTTGAATACTTGAAGAAAAGTAAAAATATACGCTTACAATGTTTGGAGTGCAATTACACCTAATTGTTTTCATCCTCTTCAATTTTTGGAGCTAGGTAATAGCGAATATGACCAATTTCACCAATTTTGTACTCAACGACTAAAGGCACTTCAGCAGACATTGACAGACAGACCTACAAAAGAGATAGATTTTATGAGTTTCAAGTCATTAGGTTCCTGCCAACGCAGCAATTCAGTCAGTAGTGAATTGTGAAGTTTGTGATAAAGCTACGCAGATTCATACTAAGTTGGATTTACACTGAATTACATTAATATTCTCAATTAAGTAATGACATGGCTTATGCAATGAGTTAGAACCTGAGATTTTTTTCAGGAGTGGAAATTTGCTCCGGACAGACTTGTTAATCTGTTCCTTCACATAACTTTTCTACCGTCACATCAACACAAGCTAGACCACTATTGAGTTATTAGCAAAATTTCATTACCATACAACAGGTGACGCTTGGATAGGATGTCTACTGGCTTTGCAAATAAAATTACTGCCTTTCTCCTGACCCTTAGACCCTTCCTGCAGCAACTGTCTGTTCGCTTACTGCCTAACTATTGAACTATTGATTGATTTTAAAATTGACTGGATGGAAGTAGAGCATAAATGGCAGTAGTTTTTTTAGAAATTAGTAAAACAATCTCTTTAATTAGCCTAGATTAGAAATAAGGTAATTATGCATGATGAGCACAAATTGCTAAGACAATTTTGTCACTCCTCTACCAAAGCAACAACTAACGGTGAAAATAGCAAATGATCTCGCTGCAATTGACTAAAACAACTTTTTGACGCCCTGCGCAAGTTGCATTCCCAATGAAAAGATAATGCAGAAACACAAGATTTTTAGAATTTCCTGAACCTGAAATAAAATGTTTGGAATTTGTCTTACTTCCAAAACTGATTTGAAAATTTGAATGATTCAGGACCTGCAGGCACCCAAATATACCAAAAAACTGGTCGACTTGGAACCAACAGAGGCTATACATTTAGATTCGTTGCAAAACCAAAGATAGTAAGTTCTGTCATATTCTAAAAGATAGCTAATCTGTTCACAGCAAACTATGAACTTATTACAAGTGTACACAAAGTTTCAAGTCTTCCCCCATTTACTTCCAGAATTCATAATTTGTTCCCCCTGGCAACTTGGAAAGTATGAGAGGGAGAAAGAGAAAAAAAATCTGTAAGTTTTTTTGCAGGGTCGGAAAATTTCTGCATTTCTCCAAGTGGACACCACATTGGCAGGGACTTAGATCAAAGCAGAACTTTCTTTCACTGCGTAGTTTCTCAGTTTGTTACATTAGTATTTGACCATTGGTTTGCTTTCTGTCCTCTTCCTTTCACCATTTCTTTGTTAACTCATTGAAATCTTGATTGATTGACGAGATCTGCAATACTTGATTGCAGAGCTCATTCTCTCTTCAAATCAGAGTAGTTAGAGAAGAGTTAATTGGAATTGGAGCCAATCTTCTTGTTTTCTATGACACTGACGGTAGTTGAAGAGATTTCTAGCTTGGAGAGGTGAGGGTATATTTACAAGTGCCTTGGTCCAAAAAATTGAGAAAACATCAACCTCATGATCACTCTTCTCCTAAAAACGCAGTGTTTCAACTGCAACAGCTGAAGATTTTAAACAAAATTTTTCATAAAATTTTGGTCGAAATTTTTGGAGCCACGTATCGAGTGTTTAATTTATTACAGAATAGGAAAGAAGCATACCTGTGGTGATAATGGAGTGGCTTTCGTGAAGTAGTTTAAGTACCGGCAAGCAAAAGTCAATGATACTTTCTCTTGCATTTCAATTGAGACAGCCTCATCTTCTTTGTCAACGTTGGCAGTTTGTGCTAGTTTAATATTTGCTGCAAAAAGAAAAAGAAAAAACTTAGAGAACAAAAAAGAGATAGAACAAGTGTAACCTACTTTCACGAAGAAAGTTGATAAATTATTGGAGTAAATTTTTAGACACCTACTTTAATCTACTGTGGTGCTTTTGATTTTATGAAACTGCGTTTAGGACATAAAGGTCCGACAAATTCAAACAATTAGGTGTGTTAACAGTAACTGCCCAAGACTGACTTTTTCTTTCCTTTCAGATAATTTAGAATTTGCCAAACATTATCTTGGATACGATTAATTGAAGACTTCTTTTTCTAAACAAGAAAATCAGAATTTTAAAGAAATTACAAAGGGTGTAATATTTTATGATTACCTGAGCCGATGTCGCCAGCTGCTGAAAATTTAACTCCTTCTTTTGTACATGAGATAACTACAGACTCCCCAAACTGGCTCAAATCTCGACAGATCCTGGCGAATTCTGCAGATGGAAGCTTAATGACGCAAGAGTAGTCTGTTTCCTAAAGTATCAAGATAACAAGAAAAACAAAAAGATGATCAGGATTAAGTTGATATACTGCACCAAGCATGAGAACAATTCGACGGCGTAAGTCCGCAATCACATATCTTCTTTGCAGTGTCTGAAAATCTCTGCCTCTATGTTATTTTTTAAGGAGAACAAATTGACATCATTCCTTGAGGTTCATGCAAAATTTTTTTTGCACAGAGAAGAAAGATCACAGCAGTTTTAAGGAATTGCCGTTGAGTGGTTTTCTGTTTAAAATATGAAGTATGACAGGAAGTCTGCGACGTCGCAAATCGAGCTATGTGATTGCCAACTTACACTGTCGAATTGTTCAGCTGCTATTATTGCTGATAGTTAGAGACCGATAACTGGAGGTTCTAATGGAAATGTGCCTGCTTATTTGTATTTGTTGTGAACAGCGCACTTCCCTCTTGGAAGCACATGGAATTGTGGGTTTAAAAATTTACAGCACACTCACCCAAAATTGTATTGATTAAAATCAAAGAGACGACAAAATTCTACTGCCTGCTTATTTTTTCTTCAAACAGCTGAACTGTAGCCGAAAGGCTACGCAGTCAGGTAGTTTCTGCACCCTGTCTGATGGCTACTTCTGGGCAGATAGTAAATAAATGAAGAACATCCTTATTACATGATGGTTCACACAATTTAGCAATTTAATTCCAAGTATCGAGAGGTTCCAAAACCATATTCTTAATTCATTAGTATTCCATTAAGACAGCATTATTTATAATATAATCAGATAAGGTCGGTCAAGTCACTCTTATCGTTTCTACAAAACTTTCTTCTCCCTTTCCCCTGACTTTTCAGGTTTGCTCTGACCTTCGGATTTCCTGTTTCCCTGGTTCTTCCTGATCATTATTTACAAATTAGAAGAACGCAAAACAAAAATGAGTGTAAACAAGATAAGATTTAGAGCAAAACCTACCGGGATTCCTAAGTGTTCTTGATCGAGGTTCATAAGTTTCATTTCGTAATCTGACATTTTTTCTTGGTTGGGAGACTCGAACATGAATGTAACAGAATCAGCGTTATCTTGCGCCTTCATGGTCATAATATCATCATTACCAGCACATTTCATGATTTTGGTCATGCTGAAAAGAGAAACAAGCAAATCCATCAAATTGAGACAGAAGAAGAGAAATAAACAAGATGGAGGTAAAATAAGCCCCTTTCTTGGGTAGGGGTTACAAGCAGGTGCTTTGACTACCCTTCATTAACTCTTATAATTAAATGAAGGTAGCAGGTCATCAGTGATTATGTTAAGAAGTCATGGTAAAGAACGAATAACTTGGACTTCAACTCTACTTCTGGGCAGATGAGTCGGGACTTGGTCGAGATAAGGTGAAGTGCACACTGCTCGTTATCACATGTCAGTCAGATTGACTGGGAATGGAAAATCAATTCTAAAAACAGCAAAGAGGCCTACGCCTGTCTCATCAGGCCAACAAAGCCAGAAATAATTGCAACAATGAGGCTACATAGTGCTCAATGAAACTAAGCGAGAGATTTCCCTCCAAAATTCAATGCTTTGTTGCGGTGAGGTTTCGCTGCGATGTTGCGCAATTTCATCAGCATTCTTAGATGAGGTCCTTTTCTATAGACTACGGAAATTAATGATCACATTGATTACATTCATACATAAGTCAGATTAAGCCAATGTGATTTCCATTAACTGAGAGGGGACATGAGGGCTTATGGACAATGGAGATTAGAATCGACTTGAGTGAATAAGTGCGAGGTTAGCTAGGTGCTGGAGAGGATGGGAGATATTAGAAAAAATGTTGATGTACAACTGGCTACTGGCAGAGATATTGTGAGAGAGATAAATCTTCAGGTGGTGATGTTGAGATAAGGTGTGGACATGGGCAAGACTTGAGCGCTGAAAGCATGAATCATTAGCGCGTTACCTGGCAAGGTTGATGCCCATTGAGAGGTTTCTGTCACATCTGTACTGATCAAAGCCATCGCTCCTTAAATTTAAAGAGACTAAACTGACGTGAGAGCTGTCCATGGCTTGTAGCTGGATCCCTGAATCTGAACAATCAAAGGTGGCTTCATTGAGAAGCTCTTTGATGGCTTCGAGCACTTTCTTGAAGATGGAACTTTGCACTAATCTTGCTTCGAACATTTTGAAGGATTATAGATTAAACACGACACACTAAAGACAAAAATTCAAGAGAGATAAGCAAAAAGACTAGAAAACACGGGCACGTTGAGGGACCAAATCAAACCGCAGGCCAAAGATATGAGGACAAAGGTTTAGAGGAGCAGAAGCAGCAGAAGGCTGAAAAAGAATGGACGAAACGAGGAGAATGAGAATTTGGCGCCAGAAATCCCGCCTAAAATTGTTTTGATATGAAAGCGCTCTCTAGGGAATAAATGTGTAACTACTTGTGCCGCGCTTTCTCTACCCGCGAATTTCAATTTTGCGCGTGATGGTCCCGGCTGCCGCAATTTCGCACCAACTTTGTGACCGAAATCAGAAGTAATGTCGATTGAGGTGGATAATCACTTCTCCCCCTGCACTATAGGGTTTACTGAAGGGCTATTTTGATCGAATTCATGGCTGTTTATCAGATGTTCCCGAGGCCCCCCCTCTCCCGCACACAGCAAGGTACACAGCAAACTTTCGTTAAGCCTAGATTATGATGAATATACCTTCTCTTAGGGAATGTGACTTGGTTTTTTACAAAAAAAAACCTGAGAAGTTAATAGGCCTTTACTAATGTAGTTGACATAATTCTGGTCAAATCTGTCGAATTAAAGTATGAGGACTCACGAAGTGAACTGTGAGCAAGTCGTGGTAAAAATGTTTGAAAGATATGGAATAAAACATTAGTCCATACAAATATAATGGGCTTTGAAGATCGAAAAAGGTATTTCAATTTTTTGTTGATATTTGCGAAGACCGGATGATTTTCCTTAACTGAGACTATCGAGCCTCATTTTTATACAATTTATGTCACCTATTAGCCTCAAGGTGCATCCTATGGCTTATCCCTCCGCCTTCCTACTGCGCAAGAAAAAAATCACAAAATTTTTGGCAAGCGTAAAATTCAGCTTGTGTGCATTACTTTGGGTTCGTTGAATCAGAATCAGTTTGCAGTGCCAATACGAAATTGTCTACGAATTTATTTGTAAGAGACTATTTCACAATACTTGTTCACTTTTTCAGTGCTGCTTAAACATTTTGTTGAAACAGTTTCAGACAAAAATATTTGCATTTCTCATTGGCACTGCAAAGCAAATTTACATCCATGAATCTATAGACCAATGAAACAAGCACAAAAAATTGTTGGGCACATTCAACTCAGGTCGTGCAGGCACAGTGTCAAGTTATCATGGTTCTCAGGATCTTACCCAAATGACGATTTTTTCTAGGTTTTGTAGCTAGTGTAAAAAGAATGATGAATAAAAACACAGATATAAAATTGACGTAAATAATAAATTTATGTACAAAAATTACAAGAGACAAGTTTGTCGATGGAATAAAATTGAAAACAACTTTTCACACCAATTTAAAAAATCTAACGTAAAAAATTTAGGTACAATGTATTGTGGTTCATTCTTACTTTCTAGTTTTTACAGGTAATTTTAGAACTGAAAAAACAGCCATAGTTTTCGAATATACTAGAGGATAATTAAAAACTTGGACTGGGTCAATAAATTAAATTAACAATAATAAAAACAAAAGTTCAAAACAGAAACATAACAGAGACAACGATAAAACTTGAATAAGTAAGGTTTTGAACAAAATTTTGATTTGTTCATTTTCTGAAAGTAATTACACGTAATAATGGCAAAAACAAAATCAGCCTCAATTGAGAACATTTCGAGCAGAGTGTAAAACATTGACACTTTAGAGACACAGAGAAGAGTCAGAAAAAAGAAAAGAAAAAAGTAGCTTAGGAATCTATTCTTTGTTTAGTAGTTTTTGTTGAGGACTTTTCTTGATTTCTCCATACTCAACTTAGTATTGTGGACTTGGCAAACATTTTGATTCAATGAACGTAGTCAGACTCATTTACAATTTCAATGAAGGTGAGAATACAAGAAAAGGAACCTGTTTTTGTACGCTAGGCTTGGTCTAAAATCTGATTTGCAAACTCAGAAAATTCCCAAAATCAACTTCACCAACAGTTTTCATCACTGAGAGAGCTCTAGTCCCTCGCATTCTTCATTTGATTGCATAAGAAATTATTTGAGGACTAGTAAAGACATTTTCCTAATTGTGGATGAGTATTTTAGAAAAATGCAGTAAAGTCTGTCCAATTCTTTTATTATACAATGGGAAAAGTCTGGAAGAGGGTCTCTGAAACCAAGACCAGTTCACACCAGTAGCGTGCGCTGAAATCTTGTTTCTCACTTGCACATTACCTGTATGCTCTTTGAGCCCATACGTAAGAAAAAAAAAATAAGAGGCGAGCTGCAGCTTGCCTTATCTGTTTCCATGGCACCTGTGAATTCAAAGGATAGCAAGGTAATTTGCGAAAGAGAAACAAAATTTCAGCGCACGCCACTGGTTCACACTGATCAGTCACTGTACATTTTTTTGCAAAGCTCATTGCAAAATGATCCGGTAAGAAATGTATTGCATTTGGACTTCCTGGTGTCAATTCACACCAAAGTTTGGCCACAGGAATGACATATCTGTATAAATTGGTCTTAAATAAACTCACAAAAAATACTTTCTCCATGAGATTACATCTCCTTACTTTTTTGTTTGAAAGACTTCATGAAATTTCATTTAAAAACTATTTCTTGATAAGAAAATTATGATTCAAAAAGCTACCAAAATATCTCTTTAAAATTGCTCTGGTCCAGACTACAAATGAATTGAATGAATCAGCATAGTCAATCATAAGTTTGGGCTGCCTGCATTTCTATTAAAATGCGTTTTGAGACAAATTATTGGTGCTTTTCACATATTGTACATGAACAAGAAGGGATGACTGAGAATTTATCTTATAATGTTTAAAATTTTGCCTTTTGGATATTTACACACTTTTTATGATTAACTTTTTAGTTTCCTAAAATTATTTAGGTAAACTTGAAAGCGTAAATTAATTTGCTATAACAACAAATTATGTAGGGCAGAAAAATTGGCTTCGTTAATAGTGATGTTTATTGTGGAATAGTGATGTTTATTGTGGAATAGTGAAATGACTGTTGTAAAACAATACAGCAGCTTTATCTGATGAAAACCAGCTTTTTGCGAGGAAAGAGGAAGAACAAAGTTGTAGGTTCTCATTAAAAAAAGACACAATGATGAATTAAAATTCAAAGTTTAAAATATACTCCTTGAGTGCATTGGGAAGTGGCAGTTTGTTAACATGCATGGCGGGCTTGCGACCCAAGCTCTTGTAAACATGATGTCGTGCAATCTGTTTTAGAGATCGCGGTCTTGTGTACAGTTCCTTTAACAAATTAACCAATGCTGTTGCACGCATTGGAAGGACACCAGCTTCAAAGGCTTTGAGCAGACCACCCAAACAATCATAAAGCTCACGGTGACTCATTGAGAAGTAGTACAGCCAGATGATGGACGCAAATGTTGCGGAGGACTTGTGAAGCAATTCTTCTTTCCGCAAAATTAGAGTAACATAGTAGAAGAGGACATAGTGATTTCCCCTGAGGGTCCGTAACAGGACATTGGCTGTTGCAGAATTGTGGCATCCCGGGTCGAGTAGCGGAATTCGTAAGTCAGGATTTGCACCATACTATGAAGAAAAGGCATAAGGTTATAAATAAACAAGGCCATTCATCATTCAATATGATCATTAATACTTGCTACATGTACTTCGGAAGGTAGTGTAAAGAGGACGTGTAGATGCTCATTGCTATAATTTGAAGTTTTCATTTTCCTAAAGTTTTTAATTTACAGTTTTTACTTTATTTTTAACTTAAACTTTTGTAAAAAAAAAAAAAAAAAAATAATACATGCCTTTCTTATTTTTAAAGTAAACTATTCCTTTCTTCTGAGCGGTGCTACGCATCAGAATTGTATTTTCTATAGATATCTTCAATTGCTTTGTGTACAACATTCCTTGCACAGTATTATTTACTGATGATAATACATTTGAGGTGACCTGAGTTTGAAGATCCACCCATCCTGGCAATACAGATCACAACTTTTACAATCTTTAGCTTCACGGAAAAAAAAAGAATTGCTGATTCAGCAATTCTTTTTTTTCCGTGTTGTTAAAAATTTGAAGATTTCTCTATTCTAATGCAGATTTGATTTTAAATCTGTCTGGGAAGCTGCCGTTCAAGAATCGACCAACACCACTGCAACTCTAATATATTCGCCATCTTAGGTAGGAAAATTAAAGAAAAGGTATAGTGTACTAACCTGCAAAAATATAAGAGTGAGCCTATAAACCTCTTGAAGCTGTAGCTCAGAAGGCTGACGTGACGCTTGGATCATATCCAGAATGGACTGGAGAATGTGCTGAGTACGTGGTGAAAACCGAATATTAGGGTCTAATCCATGCTGAAGTAAAATTGCAAGCAGGCTTCGTATAAACTCCATGTTCTGTACAGTTTTTGACTCATTCTCATCAGACCCCCTTCCGTTTTCCATATTTTCATTTGCTGAAAACACTAGGACATGCAAAGGTGTCAGGTTTGACCGCGTTGTGCAGTTGGGATTTGCTCCGTGCTTGCATAGAATACGTACACAATTTTGGTAGCAGACCTAGAACAGAGTGGCAAAGATGGTTATGATTCAATGAGAGAGGATGAAAGAAAACAAATTAATTTTTGATGATACCTTATGTATTATACTAGGTTTGTGGTAACCATTGCAGTGCATACTTCAACTTTTGTAGAAGAGTTTTGAAAAGTAGAAATTCCGGGTTGCCACAGAATTTGGATAATGAAATTCCCCGATTTTTTCCTGATTTCTCTGAGATATTTTGATACAATTTCCTGACAATTGATAATATGCCAGACGGTTAAAAAGACATAATTTGAAGTTGTTTTCACGCCAAATTTGTTTGTTTGAAACATCAAACTCTTTCTATAAAGCAAATAAAGGTGCCTCAACAATTTTTCCTGGACTTTTTTGTCATTTTCCCTGATATTTCAAGGTTTTCCCTGACTTTTTAAAATTCCCGGACACTTTCCGGTTTTCCCAATTCCAGTTCTGAAATTCTTAAAATTCAAAAAACAAGTATTTATTTTCTTAATCCACAGCAATACATTCGGATTTGAGAGGTTGATTGGATTGCTGATAAGTAGGTAGATTTCTTATTGTTTTCGTTGGAGAAAACTCATGTCAAAATAGGTTTTCGAAGTCGGTAATCAGTCATATTTCAATTATCAAGGCTGTTTTGGAGATTCTGAGGTGCAGACTCAAAGAAACCCTTTAGTGCCATTCAATCTTGAATTAGAAAAAATGTCCCTTATGTTATTGTCCTCTTTTGAATATTGAAATTAAATGAATTCCAAAAATGAGAGAAACAAATATAAAGAGGGAAAAAAGGTAGATTTTGCATCAATCTCTCGCATCCCACTCAAACTTTTCTGTGAACCTGAGCACTGGCAAAAACAACCACAAATAACACTAGATGAGTACATAGTACAAATATTAAACAATGCACTTTCTTGTCACCAGTCTAAAAATTCTTGTGAGCCCTTATATTCTCTTTAAAATGATGGAAAAATAACAAGAAACTTTGAACACAAACCTTCATTGTATGGGTTAGGTGATGAAGAGGATCTTTGTTTATTAGAGGTACTAGACAGACCATCAGTGGGACACTTCCGTCCCTGCCCACATTGTTTGGATTCCCTCCTTCTTGTAAAAGCATGTTGAGAAGTTCATAACGGAACTCCCAATCCTTTACGTGCCTCAGAACGCATGCCAAAGCACTGTTTCCAGGCTGGTTTATTGATGGTTGAGCACCTTTTGATAACAGAAACCGCATCTGAAACGATCAATGAGATAAATTAGTAGGTATACTTGTTTGGATTAAGTGCTTGAGTAGTTCTTTTAGTCATTGAATATATAAAAATGTCCGTATCACTGACTGAATACCAATTTCAAACATGAAATGCTTAGTTAATTAAACAGAATGCAAGATCTCTTGGATAACTCATGGGTACTCAGGTTCAAATCTTCTTTTTTTCTTCAATGACAGATACTCTCAACTTAGTTTAGTGTGAAGTTACCGTATTCTCACTTTTTTAGGCACCTAATATGTCAGACATATCCTGGTATTTCTGAAAAAAAAAAAAAAAAATGAGAGGTTTGAAGAGCTGTTTTTCTACTGTGTTATTTGTATACAACAATATTGCCCGTTAAGGCATTGCCACATGGCCATCATTGGTTCTTTTAGGACCGCAAGCTTTACTGAAAGGTGCACTGGACTTTTAATAATTGAGATCTATCATTACTTTTGGAAAAATGCTTGAAATGAGCGTTGAAATTTGAATTCCTCAGAAGCCTCCAATTATCTGTTGAACTCAGTACGATGTATGATTTGAGAGATAGATTTCTATACTTAACTGATGCTTGAGAGTAAATAATTCTGACAAGACAAAACACCCCACAAAAATAAATGGATTTGTGGTGCTTACCAAATGCAGAACATCCCACTTGTTCCATGGAATCTCTGTGTCATATGCAATCCTGGCTTCCTCAATAGCATACCTCACAATCAAGCCATGCAAAGGTGTGTTGCCCAATGAATCAGGTTCGTTGATCTGTTTCTGTAGTCCGGACTCTAGGAGCAGTTTACAAGTGGCAAGGGTATCTTCTGCACTCTTACGACCAAGAAGAAAGACTAAGTGTAAAGCGTTCATTTGTTGCGTTGGCGTGACTACCGTCAGGTCAGCCCCATTACTGAAAAAAAGTTAAGGCTTAAGCTCAAAACTTTGAAAAATTATCATAGTTTGAATTCACTGTACTTTTATGGTATTTGAGAAAGGCTGTTAGGTAGAGATATTATCTTTATGAAGAAAATTTTTATGCTGGAAGATAACACAAGAAACGCCAAACCTTTTGCATTTGAATTCTTTTAGAAGGGGTCGCCTTTCCTGTACTTTCTGTAAACTTGAGTGGAGTCAATAAAGAGATGAAAAAAAGACTAAAAAATTATACTTGAGCACAAAAGCTGGCTACAACACAATATGTAAATGAAGGTGGCAAAAAATCTCTTCTCGGCCTGAATTGCTTAGATTAAAGTGTAGTAAGGCGGCAAAATTGTACTGCCAGCAACCTCCAACAGAAAAAACTAAGCTATGGATCCTTGATAGTTAAGGTACGTTCCTGCAGAGTTTAGCACATCATTTTACCACTTCACATATGTTAATCAATTCTGTCAACTGAAAGTCAACACTCAAGAGCAAAAAGTTAAGCTGAGCTTAAGAGGAAACACTTTCTAACGGTCTTTTAAAGATACACATATATTACACATAGAAACGTACATATTCTTCAAAGGGAAACTTACTGTTTTTAAATTTTTTTTTATTTTTATTTTGTGAATAGTTATTAGAAAAATCGATGTTTCTAAAATTGGATTGCATTTCCCAGCAAGAGATTTCTACATAGATTCTAAGATTGCAACAATCTGTCATTGAGCACTCCGAATAGTGAGATATTTCTCCAACTGTGATTGACTCATCAGAATTTACAAGTTTCATACACAACAGTAAGAGAAAGCATAAAAGATGCATACCTTGATAATAAAGCTAAAAATTTTAATGGTTTTAAAACTGCATGATGCAGAGGGTAGTATTCATCAACACATTTTCCTATCTCATCTGATCGAACAGTGACCAGAAGTTTGACACATTCCCATGCTCCTCCCGCAACTGCTAAATGCAGAAGAGGCCTCTTTTGTTGCCATGGTAACCAATGTTCACCTTCATTTTGTTGCATCAAGCATTCCAAGACATTGGCCTAAAAACCCAGAAAATAAGACATTGACTTTTTTGAAAATGATTCAATAAAGTGTCAAAAGTAAAGCTTGTAGAAAAACTTAAAAATAATACAAAGTGCCCAAGGTAATTGTCATGGGTCAAGAAAAATTTGGACATGTCTTAGTAAATCAAAATTCGTGATGAATGATTTTATTACGTAGAAATTTTAGTGGAATATTGGAATTATTTCTTGAATGAATTATAAAGCGTATATGTGTACCCGCTTCATTTGAATCTCAAGCCTACTGCTTCTTGTGATTTACCATAGTTGTTTCAGCTTAGTCGATGAGCACAACAAGCTAGCTGAAGTCTCCAAGGGCATCATAAATTGATTGTCTCCCTTTGGTATGAATTAAGAAACACTCTTTACTGACAACAGGTTTCAGAGGTAGTGCAACCGAGGCGGCTTGTAGTTTCAACTATACTTATAACTCCAAGTGCCATACGGATGCAGCTGAACCGTAATTACTCTGTGTGACTATGGGTTCAATTCCTAACATCAGCACTACCTATCAAAGAAGATTCAAACAACACAGTCTAACTTGGTGGGGGGCATGGCCATGCTCTAGACATCCGCGCTCTGCAATGTCTGCCACAGTTTTTGAAAAGACCTACCGTTAGCTGAAGTCTGACCTACTGTCAGACGGCTGCTGAGCCTTGCGGGAATATGGAATGTGTCAATAGCACGAGGTTAAGGAGCACAGCCCAACTTCAGGATGCCTGATGGCAGAGTTTCTGCTGGTTGCTTTGGCTCCTTGACGCCCCTTAGCGCTTCGTTCGTCAGCCCGGCCCATACATTCCCAACATTTTTTTGACAAGATTTGATACGGAGTACTCTCATGGTTTTCCATGGAAAAAAACCTTTTTTTCCACAATCAGCTAGCAGACCAAACCGAGATTGGGCGAGCTGCTGTAGCAGTAAACAGAATAGTATGCCTTTTCTTAAAAAAAAAAAAAAAAAGTAGGTGCGCTGAACGAAAAGTGAAGAAACTAACCTGGTCACCATCAACTGCATAACAGATAGCATTTTGTACTTTATCTTTTCCTCTCTCAGCATTTAATCGGTCATTCACATAAACATCTGAAAGATTTGGAAGTAAAAAAGTTAGTTAGTGACTAAAGAAAAGAAAAAGTAAGTCTAATTAAAGGACATGAGGAGCTAAAGGTCCCTGGAACTAAAGGTTTTATTTTATTTTTCCAAGGACCCAAATTTCTTTATTAAGTTCTTTCGTCACCTTAAACTTGCTACCATAACATAATATTTTTTTNGGGGGGGGGGGGGGTGTGATAATAGAGTTGTTTCAGGTGACAAAAGAGTTCAAGAGGGATTTACATCACTGTTTTGGAGTCTAGCTCATTTCAATCATTCATTTCATGCTTAAGTATCAGGGGGAAAATATCTTTTTTGAGATTGAATACACAATATTTTTGAAGTACCCTAAGAAAATTTTGATAAAATTTAAAGGAATTAAAATTAGAAGCAGTTTTTAAATCAGATAATCCAAGTTTACTTTCATTAACTGAGTTTTTCTGCAATAATAATTCAAAATAACTACAAAAGTACTGCAAAACAGCAACAGAACTACATATATTTTCATGCTTGTAAGTATACACACTCAACAGGTTGCATAAAATCGCAAAATTGGCATTAACAAACTTTAAATATTGTCAACCACGTCTTTCAGCTCATTTAGATTTGTCTTTAATAAACAAGATTTTTGGTTGGTCCACAAAATGTTTTTTTATCCATTTTACTGTCTTCAATTTGTAGATGAATACATGATTATCAACTCGTAAAGACATACATGCTCAACTTAGCACTTAGGAACTTAAAATTTTCTAGGTAAGGTTCCTGAAATTTTTTTAAGCCAGCTGGTATTTTCACATTAAAGGAGAAACAGTGCGAAAATGCAGTCATTCATTTCTGACTTTATTTTCACCAAGAATGATGCAAGTTATCATTAAAATGCTTTCATGTTTAATGTTATGCTTTGGTTGTTTATTTTGTGATGTTTCGATGTCACATATTGATTCTTAAAAATACACAAAAATTTAAGTATCAGAATGATGTCCAATCCCAAATGATCCTGATAATTAAAATTTTTCTGGTATATCTAAGTCACAAAACTTTCTTACCTTCACACTGTTTCCCTCGTTCTTCACAGTTAGGGCTGTGAGAATGTGGCCAACACATTCGTGCTTCAACGTCCACCCTAGAACCATGCTTTAGAAGAAGTTCTACACACTCTAAGTATCTAGAAAGAGAGAAATTGGAGAGTTCATTAGAGGCAAAAAATAAAGCTCTTCAAGAGCACAAAATTAAGGGGTGCAGCATGGTGCTCATTCTTTTCCACTGATATGTATCCAAATTTATTGTATTTATATGAATGGAATGGATTAGCCTCGAATAAAATATAAACAATGTGCGATTCAAATAATTTACAACTATTAGAAATAATAAGTATGTTGTAAATTTTAGCAGGAATCCTAGAATTTTGCTACTGAATTTGCCGTTTCTTCATCTACTCTTGAAAAATTTCTAATTTTCTTTTACAGATTGATTTCCTACGAAGTAAAGTTCTTCATTACACTGGAATTAACTCAGAAGCTGTCATTAAAAATTAGGAAACTCTCAGAGTCCTGAGAAAAAATTGGAAACTTTATAAATCTACTAGAAATACTTTGTATTGGGGGAAAGAACTCTCTTTTGTACATTCGAAGCGTATTGAATTATTAGTTCATATTCAGTCACTATTAGAATTATTTGGTGCTGTGTACCTTTTTGCACAGTCTAGTTGTATTAAAGTATTGGTTGGTGTACAGTCAGCACATACATTTTACCTTTTTACAAAATTCTCTCAAGATGAAGGAAAGTTAGGAGTGCAAATCTCAGTATCCTGGGCCAGATATGAGGATGAAATTTTTTACACTCTTCTCCCTTGCTTTTAGTTTCTGAGGGACTTTCTAAAGGCTTAAAATTATCTGAGGAGGAACGGTTCCTTTTCCAATGATGCGGCATAATCCACTTACCCAGCTTCCAGCTTCTAGGTACTTCTAATCACTAAAATTTCAAACACCAGAAGAATTATTTTCATACTGACCCTTTCAAACATGCAATGTGAAGGGGGAATGAACAAGCACCGCGGTTTAGATCGACATTTCTTGACAGGATCCATCTCACCATGTCAACATTGTTCAGACCTACACATTTTTGCAATAAGTTATAACCCTCTTCATCATGAACCAGCAGTATATTTTCATTCTGAAATAAAAACAAAAATACAAAATAAATAAAAGTCACATCCAGCATAAATTGAATCAACTTGAAAACTTTTCAAAAAATCTTCTGCTCGTTTACATCTATGTAACTTAAAAATAAGTTCCACCGATTAGGAAGAAATACTTTGAATATTTTAGGGAAATAAGGCTGACACACAATATTCTTTTTTAAATTCTTTCTTGGAGTGTATGTAAAAAATAAAAATGCCAACATTTTCAAGTTTTCCATTTCATCTAGTTTTAGTTGAAAAAAAGACTTCCAAAGTTGCCAAAAAGCCAACTCAGTTTCAAACAAAAAAATATCTTGCAAAAGGATTTTGTGGCGCCTTAAGAAGAATTGACCACCCTGACAGATTTTACTGACATTTGTTTATTTACTTTATGATCACAATTGGGACAAGGATATGTATCTTGACTGTGCTTGTAATATTATTGCTCTTTGAAGTGAATGTTTGAGTCGTTTTTTGAAATGAAACCTTTCATTCACGATTTTAATTGTATGGCTGTCATGTTCCATTGGATTTTAGGTGTTTGAAACCGTGGTTTGTTGCCTCCGATGATGCCAAAAGCTTCAGCCCAGTGAAAAACACCCTATTTATAACTTGGGCTTTAAGCTCCTTTTTCCATCCAAAAAAGCTGTTCTGTGCTTTTAAAAAGAAACACGTTTCTCAATAAAATATACATTAGAAAAATTCCTTCCTGAGGCAATGCTTCGATCTTGCAACTACCGTATTCATGAACGTTTGCAACCTTCACAGATTTTGACGGTGATTCGTCTCTTGTCTCTTGTATTGAGTAACGAATAATGAGCGTATGAAAAAAATATGAAGTCCCTCCTTCAAAAACTTTCATAGAAATTTTCTTTGAAGCTCTATGCAATTTCAGGAAAACTAAAATTAAAATTGTATTTACTTACTGTGGATGAGAAATGCTATTAATCACAAAAAAATTCATCTAAGTTTCAAGTCTAATCAAACTAAAGTGACCATTTGTTGAAATGCCAAAAAAAGGAAGGAGACTTAAAAAAAGGGGCCGCATTAGATTCAATGAGCCCTTTCTTATTCTAGAGGAAAGGAATTGGTATCTCATACTCCTAAGACTTCCAATGAGACCATAGTTGCTACAGCTTGCCCTGACACCAAAGTCACCACACGTCATAAGATGATGTTAAGCACAACATTTTGTAGAATAATTGTTTCCTGCTATTTTATCATTAGAAATAAATACCTTGGGTATCTGCGAGAGAAGACCTTGAAGTCTTTGACAAGTAACTCTAGGATTAGCTCTCAGTGCATCAAAAACCACTCGAATTTTAGATCTTGTCTGGTCAGAACAACCTCGATGATTGGCTGAAAGAAGTGCGCTTCCAGACTGGAAAAAATGGCTCAGCGCCCCACCCATGTTTCGTTCATTTAAACTACCTGGAAAACAAAAAATAAAAAAAATTATGAAAGAGAAAAAAACAAGGAGATGAAACTACAAATTCATGGGGAATATGTATTCTGAATAATTTCCTTCAAATTTTTTAGGTAATTATGTTTGCAATTCAATCTATATATCTGAGAATTTCAAAAAAAATATGTATAATTTTAATAAATCAAAAATAAATGATTTGTTGGGCGAAATTTGGCAATGTTCGAATGTTCATACAGTGTTCTTTTTGAGCATGGCAGAATTGAACTAAAATGCTTTGTACTTCATGTTTTTTTACAACTCGTTTGGGCAAAGAATAAGTATACACTCAATATCTTCTTAAAACCATTTCTCATGAACAATAAATGTAAAATTTAATGATAATTTAAAAAAAAAAACCTTGGATATCGCAATTGAATAAAACCAACAGCTAAAGAATTGTATCTCAAAGAACTATAAGGTAGAGAAATTTTTAGATTGACTGACCGTAAACGCAACTGCATGATTTAGGAGGCAGTATCATATTATCAATTTTTCTGCAAATTTCCAATTGAGAAGAGGAGGTTAGATTGCCCATCTTTCAAATTCATAAATGGAGTTGAACACTGTGCCTTGATGAGTAGATGCCACACCACCGTATAAAATATCAAATTCTTTCAAGCACAAAGGTGGGGGGGTTCAAGAATTATCTAAGCTATGTTACTGGGAGAGTACATGACATATCATATAAATATCGAGTTGGTGACTCAATACTGCACAATGGATAAAAATAGCTTTAATCATTCTGGTGCATATGATCCAAATAGGAAAATTAAGACAAAGCTGAAATTTTAGCAAAAATAAAAATGTGGGATGTATGAGTGCATTTTGTGGTCACCATCCAAGGATTACCATGAAGGATAAAAAAATAGTTTAAAAACAAAAGCTTGAGTAGAAAACAACATCTACAAGGGAATTTTTATAAATATTAAACTGCCTGGGAAAATACTGAGAGGTTTCGAAGATTACTGCCACCTGGGAGACATATTCATTGGTAATAGTTTGTATTCGTGAAATTTTAATCCTTTACTCGCCAACTTCTGGAGGTTGATATAATTAGTAGAAGTTCCTAGAATGTCATTTGTTTTTAAATTTTCAAACAAGTTTTCCTCTTTTCACGTTTTTCTTATGTCTCTTGTTTGTTAGGAGAGGGGATCTAACTATACTGTCACGAAAAAACCAGATTTTAAGTTTATACAAAGTGACTTTGTTCGGTTATTTCAATTCTTAGATTTTTGGAAAGTTTTAATCTCTCTGCAAGAGGGAAAACCCCATCACTTTATTGTATTGGTGCTGCTCAAACTTACGAGTTTAAGATTTGCTATTCTAAATCCGTAACTTTACGAGCCCCCATTGTTTCTTCATGTTTCTCACATACAAATAATCAAATAGTTTCCAATGCCACTGCATTATCAGTACATCATTAAGTGATTTAAAATTTGCATAATGTTGAAAGTATGTTCAGATGAATTTTCTAGTGTACAAAGAAGGGAGTAATTCAAAAACATTTGTTTCAGAGAGACTTATACTCCATTCTTTTTTAAACTACTGGTTTTCCCCCTCTCTTGTTTGGTCCCCGGAAAAAATAAGCAGCAAAATAAATTTGTAAAAAATTATTCTAATGGAGGAAACACAGGATAAATTAAACGTTCTAAAGAAATATTTCAGCACTTAATTCAGATTCTTGATCTTCAGTGGAACTGTCCATCAAAGAAAAAGAGGGTAGGTTGGCACAAAAAGCATAAAATAGATGAGAGAAAAGAGGATGAATACAATTTGGAACAGCACAACTAAAGATGCATGTGTGTGGCAGGAAAAGGACTAACTTCATTCGCTGACAACCAAAATATCTCAAGCTGATAATTAGATTTCAAGCTTGAGGGAAAGATACGAGCAAACACGCCACACAGAGGAACGAAGCCATATGAATGCTTGAACTTTAAACAATCAGGTCGTTCTTAAAGAGTCATTTACACTTCCATCATTTTAATTGGGTAAGAGCAGGGCTGACCTTATTGAGGAGCTTACCAGTCTTTTGCTGTGGCCTTCGTAAAAGCTATTGTTCACAGTTATACTCAATTTTAGAAATTCAGGGGATAAAAGGGTGGGGAGCACAACATTTAGAGTTTGCATCCAAGGAGATGTTGCCTTCAAAAAAATAAATTTGTATAGACAAGATACAACCTAATTTCAAATTCATAAAATAGGGGGGTGGGGGGATGAAATGTATACTTATCAAAATAAACCTTAGAATAGTATTTTTTTGGACTTCAGAATAAGATGTTTAGCAAGAAAAAAGTAATGATTTTGTATTATACAGCTTGTGCAAACTTGAAAAAAAAGGGTAAATACACAAAGACAAATAAAAACAAACTCTAAAAGGAGGAAAACAAATTACTTACTTACATGAATGAAACTGATGAAAGGTTAAATTTACGCAACTTGCATGCCTCCTCAGACTAGGAAAATGAAGTGATTGGGAATTGTGCTTTCATGTCCTAAAAGAATGTTTATAATACCTTCAAAACAAGATAAGTTACAAAATGCATTGCCAGTCTATCTGTCCTGGTGAAAAAAAAGAGGAAACATTTTATTAGTTACATGATCAGTTGACAGAAACGTCGTCCAGACAAATAATTAAGTTGGGAAAGTTTGAGTTTTTAAATTTTTAGTGATTTTATTCTTGGCATTATTAGGTTTGTGATACTATTCAAATATTTTAGGATGACTGGCCAAATATATCTTAAAAATTAATTACACACAAGTGAGTAGGTACTCACAGATGGGTCACTTACTACTTGGTTGATCATTCAATGGTTTGACAAATGAAAGGTCGGTGTACGATAATAATATTTTACAGCTTTTATGTTTATGGTGAGAGCGCCAGACACTTGATTGGATAATGAATTCAAGATAGATACCTATCTGCTGAAGAAAGTATACCTACTAAGGTACTTTTCATTCAATTTATGCTATTTTATTTACAGTAATGCGTTTATATATTTTGACCGTGTAAATCTGCAATCCCATAACTCGTTTGCGGTGTCTGAAAATCTTCGCCTCTATGTTATTTTTTTAAAGGAGAACAAATTGACATCATTCTTTGAAGTTTATGCAGAAATTCCTTCACATAGAGAAGAAAAATCACGGCTGTTCGGAAGAATGGCCGCTGAGTAGTTTTCCATCTAAAAAATAAAGTATGACAGGAAGTCTACGACGTCGCAAACCAAGTTATGTGATTGCCAACTTACACCGTCGATTTGTGTATTATTTCCCATAAAAGAAGACTGTGTTAGTAATAAAAATGATCATTAATTTGGGTAATAAAGGTTGAAAATAATACTGTGCAGGACATAGAGTGGTATGGACGTCTGCTAAATATTTTAGAGGATAGGTGGCCATCTAGTTTGTTAACAGAAGAGAGCCAAAGTCACCATCTATTCTTCAAAGGAGAGTAGTCATGAATCATATTGAGTGATAACAATGGGTCATAATTTTCTTTAAAGAATATAGGTGCGCATTAAGTAAGATTAAGGAGGGAGCCAAGCCACCTGTCTTACAACCTTAATTTTCATTAGGGTCATGCTGAGTGTAGAAGCTGGTGAATCAGCATAAATAACTTTGAACCAGGAGGTCTCTATCGTGGTTGCACTGAAAGGAGAAGCGCTGAGTACTAAGTAATATTTAAGCCCTTTTCATACAGTGCTTATTATCGCTCAACTTTACTTCCCAATTTCTAGAACAATTTTTTTTGACTAAGTACCTAATTCAAGTGGGAAACATTTTCATCGCATTGAGTTGTAGGAAAAGTTAGATGAAAAATTGAACTGTGTCAATTAAGATTTGATTCACAGACCGGCTTACCTCAGCTCTTAGTCTATCTAGCAATACATTGATCAAAAATACCAAATACCTGACTAAGTAACTTTTCAACGATCATATCCTTAATTTTCCAGAAAACCAATTTCTCAAAGACAGTCACTAAGTAATAGTCTATTTATTTCATAGTTGATTACAGCATATCTATCTGTCCAGGTATCCTTGGTCAAAAATTATCATTTTGACCGACTACTTGAGGCACATAAGTAAGTTAAGTTGAGGCACATGACGTGCATAATTTATGAAATTGCGGGCTAATATGTACCATAAAAGGAAAATTTCACTCATGATAGTTGAAACTCCTGACTGTCCTGTGACCCAAAAAGAACAGTACTTACTTCTCTAAATCAATAGCTGAGTTCTGCAAATTATCCTCTGATAAACACTCCCAGAGTGTGTATTGGTGAAGAACATTCTAAGAATTATTTCGTGACAATCGTAGACTTATTAGAATCGATGGAGGTTTCTTCGGCATTCAAATACAAAACATGAAGAGGTCAGTCATTAAAAACTCGCACGCAGTTAGTCGAGAAGAGACGCAAAAACGAAATTCCGCTGATAAGGAAAATCTGCGTGAGATGGATGAGAAAATGACAGAGCTTCACACACACGACTCACAACTTCGCTTAAAAAAACTTCATTGAAACTTTGGAAGTTGTACTTTATAAAGTTGCACCAACATGAATGAAAATGTTTAGAAGTTATGATTTGAATGTGCACGAATGATAGTATGGTAGTGATAAAAACTAACTAGTCTAATTTGTAAGTAAGTAGTCACAGTGGAAAGAAAAACAGAGAGATAATCGGCCCACCCCTTTTTCTCTCTCAATGCCTTGTTGCGTCAATTAAACTAATTCAACATTTAATTATGATGTAGCAGTCCTTTCTGTACCTTTCCTTCCATATAATAGTGTCAAAAATTGTGATAAGCAAGATAAGAACTGTAACTAGGCACCACCGTACTAAGTTTGTTTTAAGTTCATATTCCTTATTTCCTTTGTCAGGATTCAGGAACGAAGTTTGGAACGAAGTACGCAAAATCCTTCCTCTGAAACAGCAAAACCTTCAAAAAAGGTTGCTGGGTGAACCAGCAATGCAATATTCCGTGTTCTCACTCGCACACACACATGCTCACCCTCCCACACAGTGTACGCACACTCAGCACTCAGCACACCCCGATCTGCAATTCAATCTAATTCTGCATTGTTTTCAATGGTTTTCATTCACGATTTCACGCCAACGGGTGTCCTTTCGTAATGTGTTTAATTTTTATCAGATCAGTAAATCCCATAAGTTTATCGTGTTACGCTTTTGTGTGTTTTCTTTCGATGTGATTTATTAGGTTGCCATCTTTCATGCAACGCGTTCAAATTTGCTCACTATCGGTTAGTTTTTTTGCTGTTAATTCATTGATCATGCTTGTTCTGTTGAGGTTAGAATTACCACTACATGCTTCCAAACCAATTTTTTACGAAGTTACAAGCTGAGAGGGCTTGATTATCGGAGCCAGCCATATAGTGTTCTTCGTTTCACCAAGAAAGAGTACTTGCATGACATTCACCCACGTTTCAAGATAGGTTGATTTAAGGTACATATTTATGACTGTCCTCCGTCCGAATTTCCATGTGTAATGGTTTATTTCAAGAGTAATCAGTTGAAAACAACATGACCGTAGATTCAGAACTGTATGATGGGTTATTTGGCTAAAACTGACTGTAGCCATGCCAAACTAACATGTACAGTGGACTCTCGATAATTCGAAATTGAAGGGAATCGGCTTTTTCTTCGAATTAGCGAGGTTTCGAAATAGAGAGAGTTCGAATTAAAGAGATTCATGTGAGGAAATTTCGAATTAGAGAGGTTCGAATGTAGAGAGGCAAATGGACGGATCTAAGTACGTCAAAAGGAACCAAAAATATCGGTTTATTTTATTATTTTTTTTTATTTTATTATATCGGTTTATTAGGTAAAAATTACACTAAGTTATCATTAAGTATTTATTATTTATATTTAATTTTAAAATTATTAATTACATGTTTACATTTTGACAATCCTATCAGCTCTTTCAGACACCGGCCAGGTACATAAACAGTTGACTTCGAATTGTAGAGAGAATGTACCGTCTTATTTCGAATTATAGAGGGAGAACCATATTTACTTCCCACGTTTCGAAGTACAGAGAGAATTTTCGTCGCAATTTCGAATCGTAGAGGGCCGCGCCAGCTTAAAAATTTCGAAATAACGAGTGGAGAAAAATACATTGATTTTCTTCGAATCATCGAGAGATTTTCAAGGGAAAAGGACTTTCCTTCGAATTAGCGAGGTTTTCGAATTATCGAGAGTCCACTGTAACAGGTACATTCCTATACGCACCAAACTTGTGTAGCCCGTACGTATCAAATCTCAGTTTGTTCATAAGCGGTGAGTCTAATTTTTGATCAAATACTTATATATTCACTCTTGAAGTTTAATGCTTGCACAAATGTACCCGGTCTCAGAATGATTGATTGTCCAAACGTATGAGAGGTACCGAGGGTCATTCCATGTCAACTCAACGAGGTTTTGAACCTTGACCTCTCGGATCATGTTCAAACTTGGTGTGCTGCAAGTTCCTATTGAAAAAAAAATATTCCCCAAATACTAGGTCATTTGGTCGCTCTGTTGATTTTATATGGAATTTCAAAGTTTGGGAAAAATTGAGTTTTTTTATGACCGATAAAACTTTGAACGGCTGTTCCTTTTCAATGGTTCATCCGAAAAACTTGAACTAGGTCTTGTTTTAAAGCTTAGAGCCTCTTCTTTAAAAAGAAATAAAAAAAAATTGAAAAAAAAAAATTTGAATTTTTCCAAAAGGGCATTTTTTAAAATTTTGATTTTCTTTGTAGGTGATCCTTACGTAATCTTAAAGCATTTCCCAAAGTTTAATTGTGGGCCGCCAAGGGGTTCCTGAGTTATAGCAATAAACGTACCGTAATCCCACTTAAAATCCATCATATGTACCTACTATGTATATAAGTCATGCATAAGCCATGCATAGTAGGAACAGATTCCCTTGACATGGCTGTTAACAGTTAATACGCTCTAAATAGTGGGAATAGGATGTTTTTATGGATGCTCATTGTTCAATTTTCCTGAATTTCACTGGGGGAAAAGAGAGAAGAAGAGGAAACCAAAAAATTGCAAAAATTTGCTGTTGAGGCAGGGCAAACATTTTTCATGTGGAGAGCAAGCAGGCATCCTGCTCTCCTCCCCCCTCCCCCCTTCCGATGTTGTAAGTATCTATTTTACAAAAGGTGATAATAAACAATGAGCATTCATGAAAACATCCTATTCCCACTGTTTAGAGCCTATTAACTATTAACAGCCATGTCAAGGGAATCTGTTCCTACTATGCATGGCTTATGCACATAGAGTACATAGAGTCATAATGTAAGCGGGTGAGCTGGCGCCACTTTTAAGCATTTTCCAGGTCCCGAATTCCGAGATTCCTGTGTGACGCCGGGTCACTTTTTCGATACATAATCGAATGTTTGCGATACACGGGTACTCGGCCTTCTGATGTAAACAAAGAATATAGGAATCACCACGTATTCCACACCGCCATTTTGGATCGAACATGTATCGAAAAAGTGACCCGAACTCGGCGCACACCGGGCTCAGAACTCGTCCAGCAGAACATGGCGCCAGCTCTTCTATTTACATTACGACTCCATGTACTCTATGCTTATGCATGACTTATATATATAGTAGGTACATATGATGGATTTTAAGAGGGATTACGGTACGTTTATTGCTATAACTCAGGAACCGCTTGGTGGCCCACAATGAAACATTGGAAAATGCTTTAAGATTATGTAAGGATCACCTAAGTACAAAGAAAATCAAAATTTTAAAAAATGCCCTTTTTGAAAAATTCAAATTTGAAAATTCAAATTTTTTTTTTCAATTTTTTTTTATTTCTTTTTAAAGAAGAGGCTCTAAGCTTCAAAAGAAGACCTAGTACAAGTTTTCCCGATGAACCATTGAAAAGTAACAGCCGTTCCAAGTTATATCCGTCATAAAAAACTCAATTTTTTCCAAACTTTGAAATTCCCTATAAATTCAACGGAGCGACCAAATGACCTAAATTTGGGGAATATTTTTTTTTCAATAGGAACTTGCAGCACCCCAAGTTTGAACATGATACGACAGGTCAAGGTTCAAAACCTCGTTGAGTTGACATGGAATGACCCACAGGCACAATGATACAACCATTCGACCAAGGATGTAGGCATGTTGCAGCCAGCCGGATTGAAGCCGCGTCAAACTGCGAAGACCACGCGCAGCCGCGGTCCCTTCCCTGGCTGTCGCAACGCTGAAATCGCCGCAAACCCAAAAATACGCGTCAATATTTTCACTTTTTGCCCTGTTTTACTATACTTTAATTGAAAATGTATTTCAATTATAACGATTCAAAGAAATTTAATCGTTTTTGATTCGTTTTTTGATTGAAGAAAATGGAAAAACGAGAGTATCGCGTCGAAACTTGCTTTGATTTTTATTTTTAAATCATTTCAGAAAATTAGCGGGAAACCTTCAGAAAACTACAGGAAGCTTCGTAAAACACATCGATTAAAAATAAAACATCAGTAGATGTGTGCAACGTTACAATCGGAGATAAATACGCTTTTATTCGCGCGCAGCCGTCGGTATTTCGGTCCATCCACGGCAGGCGCAATGATACAACTTTTCGACCACGGATGTAGGCATGATGCAGCCAGCCGGATTGAAGGCGCGTCAAATTGCGAAGATCACTCACAATCAGTCGCGTTCCCTCTGTCGCAACGCTGAAATCGCCGCAAACCCAAGAATACGCGTCATTATTTTCACTTTTTGCCCTGTTTTACTGTATTTAAAGTGAAATATGTAATTCAACTATAACGATTCAAAAAATTAACCGTACTTGATTCGTTTTTTGATTCAAGAAAATGGATAAACGAGAGTAACGCGTCGCAACTTTCTATGATTTTTATTTTTAAATCATTTCAGAAAATTAGCGGAAAACCGTCAGAAAACTACAGGAAGCTTCGTAAAACACATCGATTACAAATAAAACATTAGTAGATGTGTGCAACGTTACAATCGGAGATAAATACGCTTTTATTTGCGCGCAGCCGTAGGTTTTTCGGTTCATCCACGGCAGGCGCAATTATGTGCGCAGTTTGACGAGCCTTCAATGCGGCTGGCTGCAACATACCTACATCCGTGGTCGAATAGTTGTATCATTGCGCCTACCGTGGATGAACCGGAATACCGACGGCTGCGCGCGAATAAAAGCGTATTTATCTCCGATTGTAACGTTGCACACATCTACTGATGTTTTATTTTTAATCGATTAACTATTAACAGCCATGTCTAGGGAATCTGTTTCTACTATGCATGGCTTATGCCTGACTTAAATATATAGTAGGTACATGTGATGGATTTTAAGTGGGATTACGGTACGTTTATTGCTATAACTCAGGAACCGCTTGGCGGCCCTTAATGAAACTTTGGAAAATGCTTTAAGATTATGTAGGGATCACCTACAAAGAAAATCAAAATTTTAAAAACTGCCCTTTTTGAAAAATTCAGAATTTTCCAAAAATTTTCACAATTTTTTTTCCAATTTGTTTTATTTCTTTTTAAAGAAAAAGCTCTAAGCTTTAAATCAAGACCTAGGTAGTTCAAATTTTTATCGGTCATAAAAAAACTCAATTTTTTCCAAACTTTGAAATTCCTTATAAAATCAACGGAGCGACCAAGTGACCTAAAATTTGGGGAATATTTTGTTTTCAATAGGAACCTGCAGCACACCAAGTTTGAACATGATCCGAGAGGTCAAGGTTCAAAACCTCGTTGAGTTGACATGGAATGACCCCCTACCGTCAGCTAAGTTGGCAGTTGTTTACTTTGCATTTTCATGTAACCGCAACGTAGTCGTCCAATAATGAACCAAGATTGACGGCAGAATGCTCCCGAGCAATGCTGCCATCATACGCAGATTCATAAAGTAGACCACTGTCAACTTGAGAAGTTGATGACATCTCCACCTTGATTGTTTTGTGTGAATAAACATTGAGCAATTAAATCAATTCCGATCAACTGACCACAAGTTTTGCCTTACTTCTGCCGGTTAGCATAAATTAGGAAGCAAATCATCGTCGGCTTTTCAGCTCAATATTACCAAATAATTATACTACAAACCATGAAGTGTTGTAGATTTCTAAATTCTCTATAAATTTACACACTTCATTTTGGCTTATTGTTGCATAAGAATTGAAGAAAACCGTGTCATTGATCTAACCAGATTGTCCGCATTTTCAGAAAAGTATTTCTATGGAAGGTTAGGAAATCAAAAAAACGTCTGGAGTTTTAGGTAGGGTACTTTCAATGTCCAATACTGATGAGGAAACTTGCATTAAAGTAACTCAGTCAAATAGATTGTTTAGAGAAGAGCTGAGGACACACTTGACTTGAGGAAATCAATCAAAAACAAAATCATAATGGTTTTCTTTTCATGATCAGAGATATTATAAGATCACGAAACTTCATACTAAAACTGATCTGTTGAAGCTGTAATCACAATAATTAAAATTACGGATGGTGGATTCGCCACTACCAATTGATGCATTAAAGCATTGATTTTGCTTCCATTTGTGCCACTGGTAGAACTTGATAAATCCTCAGATTCACTTTCGAATTTATTTTTATGGCCAAGTAAGTTGCTTTGACTGATCAGTTTTTTTCCACTTAGTTTATTTTTCCAATTTTTCTTTTTGTTTAATCATATGTTTTCTTTTCAGTTAGGATATCATGGAGTCAACAACACCGACAAACAAGCGGAAACAGTCAGCAACATGTGAGACTTGTGATGTAATGTTCTCTAATGAACAGGATCTCTACGCCCACTTTCTGACGAAGGACCACATGATGGCTAGTACAGAAGCTACAGAGCTCCGCAGACCATTTTGCGTTCATGACCCTTCTCAGGCTGTTTACGTCAGGGGTCTTTCCTTGCGAAATTCGCTCCATGATCTTCAGGATGTTTTCAGACAGTACGGAGAAATTAAGCAATTGATCCTGACAAAGGTCTCAAAGTATGAGGCTGGTTGTTTGGTAGAATATGCAGAGGTTGGTGCTGTTGATGCTGTACTCAAGAAATCACCCCTCTTGAATGGCACAAAACTACATGTTAAGAAGTACAGCATTAGGTCCTCTTTAGGTAAGCATATACTGATTTTTCAACGGACAACGCTTATCAAAAAATCAAATTAAGATCAAAGAAAATATGGTACCTAGGTAAGCATCACTGTAGTAGATAACCTCTGGGGCTGCCAATCATGAGTGATTGCTCACATAGTGAGTATCTTGAATGTAGTGAATCCTTTTTTTTACGAGTAATGCAAGAGTAATTGGCAAAGCCGTGGGTAATTTTAAGGGTACCAAAAGTGCTCGAGCGAGAAGTGATAAAAGTCTCTTTGGCCTCAGTAGTTAGGATAGTTGGGACAGTTCCATGAAAAAGTTACTTAAGTCAGCATATTAGGGCACCAAAGCATTTCTTTTTTGGCGTCAGTCTATTTTTGGTCCAGATTGAATACCTACTTAAACATTTTTGCATTACATTTTCAGTTAGTCATGAAACCTCAATTGCCAGCCAGAGTTCGAATAAAAAAGTTTGTACAGAATCTGATGATGTAAGACCAAGTTCCCCAAGGTCAAGCTCACTGCCTGAAACAACTCCACCTCTGGAAAGAAATGGAATAGCTAAAGACACAAGCTCCTCTCAGCTGTCGACTAGTAAGAAGAAGGAACCTGCACAGCTAAGTCCTGCAGAGAAGCTATTAAAAATCTTCGAGGACCAAAATACTCCAAAGGAACTAGAAGATGCTAAGTGCCCAGAATTTGATAGACGTCAGAGTTCAGTTCGAACCTCCTCGATCACTCCTAATATAAAAGAAAAATCTACTCCTGAGAAAGATACATCCAAGTGCAGTGAAGAAAGCCTATCACTAGTATCTGAAAAGTCTGCTGATATTAGTCATCACAAATTTTCTGAGAAATCCCAAAAGACTACTGATAGGAGCAAATCAACATCTCAAGGTAAGTTCAAACCTATCTCTCTGAAACTGTAGAATTTTGTCAAAGACTTGTGTTCATAAAGTTCACTGTCACTATGTTGATCTGTTATGACGAGTTTCATGATCTAAACATATAGGTCAGTCACAATGCAGATTCTCTCGGCCAGCACATTGCATATCTCCAGCCCTATCCAGCAAGTTAATCAAAGAAGAGTTTGACTGATCTAGTGGGATCATTCAAGTTTAGGCAGTAGAGAGAAATAGATAAAAAAAAAGGGTTTGGTCATGAAGCCAATCCTTAGTCACCATTTTGATTAGAGAGCTCAAGTCAATTTAATGAAAATACAATCTCAAGTGAAGTACTTACAGTTTTAAATTCTTATAAAATTATCAGGACCTTTGTCAGAACCACTCAATGAAATTTGTTGTCTTCAAGGCCTTGAAAAGCAGAACTGTTGATGAAGTTTTGCAATCCTTAGCCCTGTAATAATAAATAGTCAGGGAAAGCATCTGTCTTTTTACAAATAATACGATGACATTATAGAGGGTATGGCTGACTTTGCACCGCAATCCTGTACTGTGCCAGACTATAATCAGCGCTCCATGGGAATCATCAACAAACAGGCATAATTTTTCCACACATCTGATTTCTATTTGACATCGTCCGAGCGTCTTTGAGCGTAGCCAGTGATGCCCTGGTATAATTGACTTCGCTTCGCGATCCCATATGTTCTCTGGATATCTTAAATACTCCTTGAGCATTATCAAATTGCTTGCATTTGAGACGTAGCCCAAAATATACCAACTTGACTTGCCAAACTACAACTTCCATTGCTGTTACACACATCAAATTCACTGTGAACAACTCTATTAGAGGGAATGCTATTCATTTCAACCCTCAAGAAAACATTACAATTTTAAAATCACAAGTTTAAAATTGAATGGTACCTACATCATTAAATATTCCCACTTACCAAAAGGGATGCACGCAGGCTAATTGTGAAGATCTCTCCTTGTGTTTTACATCATCTGTGCTACCCTGCTGAGCTGTTATGCTTTACAAAGACGCATTCTTGAAATATCTTAATACTCTGCTAAAGATTTGCAATTATAATGAAAAGTAGAATTAATAAAATAAATTTAATTACTTAAGTAAATTAATAATTTTAATTATAATTATGATTAAAACTTAATGAAAATTTCATACACAGACATCATATCTTTACTATCATAATTCTTTTATTCATCATATTTTTGACTCCTGATTACTTCATGCGGTTCAGTTTATGATAGTGTTTTTCTCCTTTCGCAGACAGGAGCTGTTCAGTATCTCCTCTCAACCACACAAATATAGTGCAGAATACTTCCAGAGCATCTCTACAAGATTCTCCTCATAAGGAAAGTCCACGTTTAAAAATTGACGATAAAATGTACGATGATCAAATAATAGATTTTGTCACTCAGCTCCAAGCAACTCTGCCCCTAGTTCAGTACAAATACCAAGAGGTATTTGAAGACGTTAGAAGGGCAATAGGGCTACTCAATGTCAAGTACAATTGCTATCTATTCGGTTCATCTTTCACAGGCCTTTGCTGGGACGGAAGTGACCTTGATATCTGTATCCAATGGGGTAAGAAAATGCTTTACTTTTATTTTAACTTGTTTCTCACTCTGCATCAAATCTTTGAAAAAAAAAAGAAGAAAAAATCTGAAGACAGGGAAGGAATAGACCACTAGACGAGGTTTTAAAGTAAGCTTTCTGATGCATCGACTGCCAAGGTGCAATACCACATATCTCCCTCGGAGTCTCTCAAAATTTCCGCTCCTTATTTATTATTTTTGAGGAGGTTCAAGCCAACTTCTTGGCTTAATATTTATACAGAATATTCTGCCAATAGTGAAGAAAAAACAAGGAAGTTTTAAAAAGTTACATCAACTAGTTTTCCTAAGAAAAAAGGGAATACAACATCAGTCTATAACGTCGCAACAGATACACAAGGGTTTTCACTTTGGCCATCAGTTGGGTACTTCTTAAATATTTTACATAGAACATGTTTTGCGCATTGAATATTACCCAAATTTACTTTTAACAAATATATTAACGTTTTTATTCAGCACTGATCCTGTAATATTTGAATTTCCTGCTGGCATTTTAATCAAGCCAAGTCCCTTCGCCACTCTGAGTTGCTTAAAGTCTAAAAAATGCGCAAAAATGAGCCTGTTGCAAACTACTGCTAGGGCAAAAATTACCCTGTTAGCACAGGTCAGATTGAAGATGTTTTTAAAATGTGTCATTGATCCAAAAAAATTTCTTTAAAACATTTCAATGAAACATCTTGAAAACATATCATGTGTCCAGACGGTTTTGACAAGGTTTCTAAAACAACTCTATGTCACCCCTAAATTTCGTTTCACAGATACGTCCGATAGATGTCTCTCATACCTTTTCAACACATCTCAGTGAGGTATCGGCACCGAGGCTATAAGTATCAAAAATTTTCTGACATTTGTTTTAACTAATGTCGCTGTGGAATTAGAACCATCACAGCAGGCATCCCTTGATACCAACCCTGCATGAGGGCTGAATCGTTACACTTCATCATTATCAACCTATCAGAGGGATTAGAACACCTTCACTTTAGAGAAGTATACGCAAAGCACGATGTACGATTTCAATATTCTAGATAATCCATAACTTTTGAGCTTTTATGGAGATGAACTCGATTCATACAAGGAATTAACCGTGTTAATAACCTCCACATAATTAAATGTCCAAAAAGCATAGCTTGAGACGAAAAATTAAGCTGAAATTTGGTAAAATTGAAAAATTAAACTTCAACGCCCTCTGGTGGATTCAGTTTGAACTAGGTAGGAAAAGTTTTAGAAAGGTCCTAGAAATGTTTCTATGTTATTCAATGAAACATTTCTAAAACGTGTCAAAAACATTTTAAGTGACGTATAAATTCGAGCAAAATATTCAAAAAGGTTTCAAAGACATTATATTTATTTTTAATTGAAAACCAATCCAAAATGTGTCAGATAGGTTGCTGGGAGGTGTTGTTGAGTCATGCAGGAAAAGTATCTGACAGCACTTTGAGAAGTTGCTTGAAACAAGCTGTAGATTCATTCAAAAAATTTTCAAAATATTTCGAAAACATTTCACCAAACACTTCGAAATTGGAAGTTTCTGAGAACGTGTTGGAGATGTGTTGAAAACATTTTTCTAAAACTTCAGCGACACTGGTTCGATTTATATTCAAAACGTTTTGAAATGAATTGAGGATGCTGATCGGAAAGAGAATTAAAACGTTTTGAAAATGAGTTGGAGATATACCGCACCAATCAGTAATATTTATTAATAATTGAAAACATATCTAAAATGTGTCAGATAGGTTGCTGGGAGGTGTTGTTGAGTCGTGCAGAAAAAGTATCTGACAGCACTTTGAGAAGTTGCTTGAAACAAGCTGTAGATTCATTCGAAACATTTTCAGAATATTTCCAAAACATTTCACCAAACACTTCGAAATTAGAAGTTTCTGAGAACATGTTGGAGATGTGTTGAAAACGTTTTTAAAAATTGATAGTAGAACAATTTGAAAACATTTTGAACACATTTTAAAAACATTGTTTTCACGTTTCTGTAAGATGAAATGAAAATATTTTTAAACTGTGTTCAAAACATGTTGTCTCTGATGAAATATTTTACATGACTCGCAACTTTGTCTTCAAAATGTTTTTAAAACATTTCATTTCCCCTCCAAATTTTTCTTTTGTAAAATGTTTTGGATTGGTTTTCAAAACATTTCTGTTGTGTTAAATGTATCCAATTTGAAAACCTTTTCAAAATGTTTTGGATATGTTTCAATGAAATGTTCAAAGTATTTGCGTCATTGAAACATTTCTGAAATGTTTCTAATATGTTTCATCGAGATGAATCAGTTTCGACACAAGTGGAATGTTTCTAAAACCTTACCGATCCAAGCTGTGCTACCAGGGTAGAGTTGTTACTCACAGAAAGTTCCTCAAAAATCCCGATGAGCGCATCAGCAAAGGCTGAAATGCACTCCTTACTTCACAATTTGTGTAAGAAATTTGCGTTTTTTCGAACTTCCCGCTTGAAACGAGACCATGGCACAGGTGAACATTTCGTTAGAGGAGTCCAACCCCTCCAATCCAACCCCTGCTCCCTTGGAGGGGTCCATCCAACCCCTGCTCACAAGGATACTACCCAAAATTCAATATAGCCAACGCCAATCTGCCAAAGCTTGATGATTCTAACCACCTGATAACAATCGGCAAGTTTACATTCACATTTTTCTCACGTTGTTAGATATCCGCCTTGATTGACCTCGTGCTCTCCTCAAGTTGAGTGCGGAAGCATCGGCCATGTTGAGCAGGGATTGAATGGAACGACTCCTCTAACGAAATTTTCACCTGTGCTGTAGTATCCATTTGGAAGCGTTAATCTTAAAAAAATGCAAATTTCTCACGCAGATTGTGAAGTTAGGAGTGCATTTCAGAGTTTGCCAATGCGCTCATCGAGATTTTTGAGACATTATTTATAAGGAACAACTCTCATTTTTGCTCTAGCAAAAGTTTGCAACAGGTCAATCGACTCATAGTGTGGAGATTGTAGTTGCTGTACTTTCACATCGCAAAGACTGTTGCAGTAATGTTTAATATGCAATTTCACTCTAGTAGGGTATGGTTTTGATTTAGTGGTTAGTTTAAAGTTACACATCGAAAAACGTAATATCTTGATTATATGTTACTCTCAGTAATTTACGTTGCTTAAATTATGTTCCATGTAAAATTTTGATGAAGAAACATCTATCTTAATATAATGCGCAATTTTGTACCTTGGTCATCATTGAAAAAGTTTCTGGAGGAAGGGCTTGCACTGGAGTAACCAGAGGAAAGTAGCACTGGGACAAGTGAGATCTAAATCTTTGCTTTTATCCATCACAAAATTGAGACTGCAGATCAAGTGATGGCTTGAAAACTTGAAAAATTCACTTTTGTCTCCTATGTATTTAAATGTAGGAACTTTTAGTATCATACAGACATTTTTTTGGTGGCATCAATATTAACCTGTGAATTCACAATGGAATGAAGTGATGGTTTTACTTATTTTTTAACCATCAACGACAACGCAGCATCCTGTTTGCAACTTTTTGTTTTTTTTTTCTCTTTTATACTAATTATTCACACTAATTTTTTTGACTGAGAATAGAAAATGTTTGAGCAAAGGTAAACAAAAAACTTCTGCAGGTGTTAAATTTCCTCTGGATCTTGAATTGGGATGTAATCACTCTCACAAGAGCCAAAAATACAATTATTCTTTGAAGTTCTCAGGAAATAAAACCAAGTTTCATTGTTTTTGGGACAGGAGAGAACCAACGCAATTAAAGAGTGTTAAAAATCATGCATGACAAAAAAATAGTTTTTGTTCCTATACCAAAAAAATAGTTGATTTCAAGGGGAAATGATGGTATAAATTGTGTCCTTCTACATATCTTCAGTATTTTAATGGCATACAAATTGCACCATTTTGAAAACACTGTAATTCCATTGGCTCCCTTCTGCTAAATGCAATGCGAATAACCTCAGCAACTGATTAATAATAGTGTGATTAATAATTAATAATTAACACATTTTAGGGCAAGAAAATTTTTTCCATCATGTGTGTCCATTTATCAGCAATTTTGATTGAGAATTCAAATGTTCTTCGTCTTAAACTGCTCCAAAACTCATGGGGAGAGAAATGCAGCTTTTGGGCTGATTTAGAGGGTTGGAATTTTCGGGACCCACAGCTGATTCTAGATTTGGTTGAGGTAAATTGTATCAGGTGATGTAACGGCAGGTCAAGTGCGATAGTGTAAAAAAAAGAACTTGCTGTATTTTTGTATGCTCATTCGAAAAGCCCATTTTTTTTCTAGTTCAAAATATGATTTGAGGATGCATTGGTGGGTGAATGGACTCTAAAATCTGTGACGAATTTTCTGTATCACACTAAAAAAATCGCATAACGTTTTATTTCAGTCCAGGAAGCCTTTCAGTGCTTTTGCATCAAGTTTATTTGGAATATACCTAAAAATTAATTTCCTCTATGATGTATATTTCTCAATCAAAAATCAAAGAAACAATCAGGATACTGTGATTACGTTTCAACTTTGTTGAAACTTGATATCTTGGAGTAAAATTTTGCAAAGGGTTTATTTATTCAGTTGGCATTGCAGTTTGAGTAATCTTTAACCTGGCAAGGAGCCATCAATGACCAACAATTGACTAAAACCACATTGAAACTGAATCTATGAAACTCTCTCTCTAACTCTATCTTTGTAACTGATTCTATGCCTGCTTAGCCACACAGCAATTTGAGATCAAGAAAATTTTATTTTTTATCCAGAGGAGGCTTCATTCAATGTCAATCTCACATTACATTAGCTTATTTTAATAATTGTCATCTCTTCTTTTCAGGACGAGTTGTAAGAGACTTAGAATTAGTTCTGAACGATTGCAGGAAGGTGCTTTATAAATCCGGTTGCTTCGATAAAGTTATCATCATTCGTGCCCGAACTCCTTTGATTAGAGCCCAACATAAAAAGTTTAAGCTCCAATGTGATATCTCCTTCAAGTCCCGTCTTGGCGTCTATAATAGTATTTTAATTAAAATTTTGCTTCTTTTTGATGCACGTCTTCAGACCATGATAATGTTTCTCAAATACTGGGGCCAAAAGAATGAGTTGGTAGGTAGTAACAAGATGAATAGCTACTGTCTTTGCTGGATGATTATCTTTTTCCTACAAGTCCAGAATATTCTACCAACAATAGAATTTTTGAACAGCTTTTCTCCTGAGCATATGCAATACATGGGATGGAATGTTTCATTTTTCAATATACCCCATGTAACTGTCAGTGAAATCCGAGAGCAGTTTCTGCTTCAGAATCCATATCAAGAGAAATCCATTCGTCAGTTGTTAATTGAATTTTTTGACTATTACTTAACATTTGATTATGGAAAAAATGTCATCTGTCCAATAATAGGCACTACAATCCCACGAACTAACTTTGAAAACTTGACTGATCTCCCTCCTAGCATGGTACAGTTTGTTCGAGAGGCTCAAACTCTGCGTATGTCAAGGACTAATGACTTCATGTTTGACCGGTCTTTTGTTTTCTGTTTGCAAGATCCAATTGAACTGACCTTCAACATCGGCAAATGTATGTCGCCTAAACTTAAGGATCATTTTAAACTTTGTTGTAAAACAGCAACACAGATTCTGGTCACAGAGAAGGTTTATATGATAGTTCCCAAACTGACTCAGGGACAGGATTCAAAAGAACCAGAGGGAAACGCGTATGTTATGACAGGGCAAAAGCAAGTTTCCATGACTGTAGATCAGACACTCAAAATGCTCAAAAAATCCTATTGTCACACAATAGGTGTAGAACAAAGTGAATTACATACGGACCCTCACCTGTGGATTACTGACCTGTTCATGGCTTTAATAATGGTTTTAAATAAATGTTGGCAGTTCGATATTTCTGTCTGTTCAAAAAATCAGTGCACTGATGAAGTCATCAATAAAAAGTATCTTCAGTTTGGAAAGAAGCTCAATCTAAATTGGTGTCAAATTCTGTATTGCAAAGGCTCATCAGTTCTATTTCATAACAGAAAAAAGCTAAAAAAGGAGATGAAGTCAATTTCGTTACCAAGCAAGCTCAAAAATAAGTCTGAATTTGAAAAAGAAATATACCAATACACTAAAATATTCCAAAAAGAGATGAGCTCTAAAAGCTCTGAACAGCAGTCAAAGGAACAATTTTTTTTAGTATTTTTTTTCAATCCCATAGACAGGGTAACTCGTGTTGAAGTTACCTTCATGCGCTACTTCAAACCTAACTCGATACCGGGTGTCAACAATTATCATGCTTTTTTTGAGTATGCACATCAAAATTTCCTTCCCTTGATCTACAGGTCACTAAGTTTTGTACGGAATAATCGAGGAAAGCTTGATCTTTCTGTAGAATTAAAATCAATCTGCGATGACTATCTGAACTTGTTGATACCACCACCACCGTCACCACGTTCAGTTCACAACTTGAGTGGGAGTACTGTGTCATCACAATCAGACTTCGTGCAAGAAGGGCAGTCTCACTCCCAGGCAACACTAGAAGATGTGACAGATATAGTACAGGAACAGCAAAGTAAGGAAACTCATGAGAAAATAAAATCTGAACCAAGCTCAGCGAATCCTGCTGATTCTGATTCGGATATTGAAATTGTTCCTGTAGAACCAAAAGTATTCGAGTGTATTGATGTTGAGTGATCATACATATTGAAGTGTATTTTGATCTAATGATCTCAAGTTTATATACTCAGTCATATTTTTAATGTTAGTCAATAAAAGTTGATGTCCCTTAGGTAAACATCCCTGACGTCCATGTAATTGCAATTTGTAATCACTCAATCAAAAAAAAGAAAAAAAATGAGTGCATAGACCATGGGTGGCAGCATCATTTTACTCAAAATTGTGATGCACTTTTTACACCTGATTTACTTTTAATTAATGTCCGATTCAATCTCTGCAAGCAATAGCAGTAAAATTGGCTTGAATTAATGGTTCATTCACAAATTTTGTGTTCTGTTAGAGCTGAAGCATGAACATCTCAGAAAATATAGTGCCTTATATTTTGTTTATGGTGGCATAGATTTTTAACTATTTTAAGAATGCTGTTTCAGCTGTTCTGTAGTCATAAATTCCAATTTTCTCACATAGATTCTTAATTAAAGCTGTGTCAGGTTGGACTCCTGTAAGGTGCTTCCTCAGAAACCATCTGATTTCCTTGTTCAGAATTACAGATTTAAGAATTTGGATCAAAATATTTTTCGATCTTTTGTGTGAAATTCTGATAAAAATAACTTGCATTTGTCATCAATTTATGGTACCATATTTATTGTCTATCCAACCTTAAATGTTAGCAACACAGGTTGGCAATTTAAAAAAAAAGAAAGAAAGTGAAATGTGATTCCTTCATATTGTTTAGCGCTGACTTAAAAGTTTACAGTTGTTTTTTTTTTCATAAAGTCTTAAATTTTGGTGGAATCAAGAGTTCCTTCAAAAGGAGGTTTTTGTGGGAAATTTTTTTTAGAATAGGTGAATGATGGAGAATAATCTCTTTTCATACGCACTTTTACCACGTAATCATTGATCGATTAGTCTCTTTACATCATGTAGCCATTCACTTGATTATCTAAACTCTCTTGGAAATCTAAGTGCGTAATGAATTTAATGAAGAAAACAGTTGTCTAAAATTCAGTGCTGAAATATGTTGGAATCTTAAATTTTGTGTCTAAGGTTTTCTTCCCTTTCTTGTTTCTTCCAGATCTGTGTGATTCTGTATTTGAAATTAAACAGTCTCAGCTTTGTAACAGGAGTCTAGAGGCATAATTATCTCGTGAATCTTCCTCTTGTAAGATCTCTCATTGAAGATTGATTTTAAGTTTTAGCCCAACTAAAAAATGCCATCAAGGTGCGAGATTAAATCTTCCCCTCTCATTAGTGAAGATTAATCAATCAATTTATTATTTTCAGCCTATTTATTTATTATTTTCCGGTAATATAAGAAATGGTACATGATTCATATGTCTAGCAAAGGAAAAAGTTTTGAATTATTTTCTCTTTCAAGCTTTTTTTCTCGTTTTTATGTTCTCCTCCTCTTGGTTGTCTGTGAAATAACCGGTAAAATAGTTTAGACATTATTGAAAGTTTCTTTGCATAACTTTTATTTATTGTTAGGTACAATTTCTGTTTGACTGTAAATAAGTTAAATGATCATAATCTTGTTGTAACTATTTTTTTGTAACTGTATTTGTTAAAATGTAAATATTCTTCTTTTCATACCAGTGATATTAATTTTACAAACTTTGTATTACCTACTGTACAAATTAATTGTTTTGTTGCATCTGAACTGTTCGCAGTCAAGTAAAATTTTTACTTTTTGAAATATGCTTTTTCTTTTCATGAAATTTTTAAAAATTTACTTACCCGGTCAGAGATGTTAAATTATTGAAATGGAACGACCTAATTGATTTTTTTTTAACCATTTTAGCTTGTTTCTTGTAGGCATAGGCCTTCTATTCTTACGTCCAAAATCTAAGTGACAATCAAGTTAGTTTTTGAATGCAAATAAATTATATTACGCACCCAAAACACTCACACTTGAAGTGAAACTATAACTGGGACCGAATAAATGTGGATGTCCAAATTGCCAAACGTAAATTTTGGATTCGTCAAGTGGTGTGATTTTGGAGGAGAAATCAATGAAAAGCCATTAATTAGCAGTACGTCAATTTCATGAATTCAGAATCTATCAAACTACATCACATGGTGCCTAATTTGCTCTCGTTCTTATTTTTTCTACAAAAAAATGCCTTGAATTTTTGAACACAGGAACTTTTTGTTTAATTCAAAGTAACTTTTCAAATAAATGTTTTATTAGCTATATTGTGATAAAAGGAGAAATTTGCGGATGTTTTGTTGTTAGGTATGCTGATTCAGGTTTAATCCGTCCAATTAGCGGTCTGGAATAATCCGGACGAACGTCGGAAAGCAGCCTTAGGCAACTACTTGAATCCGCTTATATTGCCTATCCGCAATTTTGAAGGCGGACGGTTAGATTGTATAGTACCTACTGCCGGTAAAATATACCGGATTAGAAAGCTTAACGAACGTCGCCACTTCTACAAAGTATAAACACCGCTGCCGGGCCGCTCATACAAGTAATACTGCTTACATGCTACTGATATGTCAGGGTTCTACAATCGGAAGTTAGGGTTGGATTTAGGGGGTGGCCACATGGGCCGCGGCCCATGGCGGCAAATTTGGTCATATTTTTAAATGTAGGTAGGTATAAAAAAAAAAAATCGGATTCAGAAAAAAAATTACAAACGAGAAAGGGCGACAATATCTCTCATTTCCTGATAGTATTGTAATTTTGTCGTCTTTCGGTGACACAAGAGACAGCACCTTTAATTAATCAAGTTAAGAGAGAAACCAAACACGCAATTTGGCCTTGAACGGCGCGGCGCAGAGAGCAATGATGACGAGGACTTGAGATGAAAGATGAAAAGGAGAAGCCCTCGGCGCGGTGGTCGGCATGTAACACATATTAGCGCCTACAAGGCTGCATGAATACTTCACGCATTGCGTCAAACGCAGTGCGGTCAGCAGCCGGTCGGCGTAAAACACCGCTTACAAAACTGTATAGGAATACCCACTTCACGCACTGCGCCAAACACAGTACGGCCAGCGCGGCGCGGCGGTGGGAGTTAAAACATTATTTAACCATATTTATGTTTGTTCTGTCATAATTTTCTCGTTCATTTCTTATGAACGGAAGGCCGTGTCCACACAATAGTGGGGCCGATAAGCGTAACAATCGTGCACTTCTGGAAGAAAGCATGAAAATTTCAGGGATTCATCTCTACCCCATAGACTTTCGATTCAGACATAGACCCCAAAAATCTGAGCCCCCTGGGGGGGCAGGGGGGCCCCCAAATTTTGAATTTCGTATAACTACTGAACGGCTAATGTTAGAGTAATTTTTTTACAGCAGGGCGATGGGAAATTTTATTAGGAACAAAAATGGTTCTTATGAATTTTTCTGTGGGATCGATATTTAAGGCGTGAAACGGGGAAAACCATCGGGGGACGGGGAGCCGGCCGTTCTGAGGCAGATCCGCGCGCTGCGCTGCCTGCCCGGGACGCGCGCGGCGGCGGAGTACGGTGTTCCCGACGGAATAGCCGCTTGTCCCGGTTTAATCTCAACGGTGCGCAGTTTTAAAAATATTATAAATACATAGGTTGTCCCAAAAGTACTGCACGTTTTTTTCTTATTGACGAACGGTAGTAGATATCAAAATGCGGTTTATGTAGTCTTAAAGACCGGCCAATTACCGATAAAACAAGACAAATCCGAGCTCTCTAAGTCATAAAATGACCAAGTTACAGCGTTTTGAAAATGACTTGTAGAGGGGACCCCTACGGGATTTTCAGCTTCTTTTCTGGAAAAAAACAAAGAGTTGATTGTTTTTTTTTTTTGGAAAAACGGTAGCAGATATCAAAATGCGGTTTAAATAGTCTTAAAGACCGAGCAATTACCAATAAAACAAGACAAATCTGAGCTCTCTAAGTCAAAAAATGACCAAGTTACAGTGTTTTGAAAATGACTTGTAGAGGTGACCCTTTCAGGATTTTTAGCTTCTTTTCTGGAAAAAACAAAGATTTGATCGATCAAAAATTCTACAGAGAAATCGTCGCGATCGAATGAAGTTGGCAACATGATATCAGCCCGGACCTTGCACCCTGCGATTTTTGGTTATTCCCTACGTTGAAAAAGGGCTTAAGAGGCAGGAAGTTTAACTCCATCAACGAGATGAAAAGAGCTGTTGAAACTTTCCTAAAGAACATTAGGCAAGAAGAATTCGAAAAAATCATCTTTGAAGAATTGGGAAGAACGGTTGCGGCGCTGTGTGGCAAATGATGGAGGATATTTTGAGAAGGAAACTAGTGTCCAGTCATCCAATGAAGAAGAGTAAATGCTAGTAATCTTGGTAAGATTATGCAAAATTGATTTAATAAAACCACTTGAATCCTTAATTCTTTGTTTTTTTTCCAGAAAAGAAGCTGAAAATCCCGTAGGGGTCCCCTCTACAAGTCATTTTCAAAACGCTGTAACTTGGTCATTTTTTGACTTAGAAAGCTCGGATTTGTCTTGTTTTATTTGCAATTGGCCGGTCTTTAAGACTACACAAACCGCATTTTGATATCTACTACCGTTCGTCAATAAGAAAAAAACGTGCAGTACTTTTGGGACAACCTATGTATATCGTACTACCTAAAAAGCCGTAAAATAGGGCTTAATTTTTGCAGGTAATATATGTATACAAGTGAGCGCACGGCAAAAGAAGGAGAAGGAGAAGGGGCTGAGTGCTGGAGTTCGGGGATGTTTTGTTGTACCTACGGGTTTGTCAATTTTTATTAAAACATCCGAGATAACTGTATCAGACATCAGTTGAACGGAATAAAATCTGACGCACAGTTGTCTCGCAAAAGGGGGGGGGGACTAAAAATCACAAATCTTTGTTGTTAACCATAATGACCCGAAAAATTATTTTAAAGTGTTTTTTTTCTCTCTCTCTTTTTCTCGGTGCTGCGCCACCAGAATGATATCTAAATATGCTTACATACCCTAAAGTTCCCTGGAGACGGCTTCTAGCCAGACTTATAAGACAGGGAAACTAATTTTGTAAAAAATGAGTATACATAAAAACATGCTTATTCTCCTCTCTTTAAGGAACATATTGGTACTTCATTGCTACATATAGGCATTTTTTAAGAGGACCAAAACCACCTTCAAAACTTGCTCCGAAAAAACGCCAAAAGAATCTTGAGACAGCTTGATTGGGATAAAAGACCCCCAAAAAACATTTGTTGGACTGCTTCCTGTACAGTACAAAGAATATTATTAAGTAATAAATAGCCGCCAGTATCCGCTAATCTGCAAAAACGGTCCATTTGAGTGATAGGAAGTTGCGCCTACAGGGGACCTATCCTGTTCTTATGTCATCAATTAAATCGCGCATCATTCGATATCCCGCAATCTCGGTAATTTTGCAACTGATTACTGATTACGACTGATTTGTTGATATTTTGACGAGAAATTAACCTTTTGATAATCTCTAAAGCTAATTCGATCAGTGTTATACTGTACGATAAAGTCTAAGGTGTACGTTTTGTGCACTGCATATTTTGCAAGTCCCGTTTCTTGACAATTTTCTCCGACATACTTACAAATCAAAAATCGGTACGAGATTTGGTGGGATGAAAAAGAAGAAATGCAATGAATTCCTTCCTGACGTACTGGTCCTTCTCAAAGTTCTTTAAAGGATCAGAACCTGCATGATAAATAAATTTCCTCCTACATTAATATTTTTTTCAATACAAATGTTACCAACTCCACTCCAAACTCTGCAGAATAAAATGAAAGATAATATACCTATGTATACATGGATTTTTCACTACTCATTCCATTTTTTATGTCTCGTGGAAAGTACCAATAATATCTTCAAGGGTGACTCGATAAAAAGAAGCGATAGGATTCATATGTCTTCTTTTAGTGTATTTTCCGAAGGAAATGTACTATTTTATTATTCATTATAATATATTGTTCTATTTTTTGAAATATGCATATTTGTTGAATAACTGAAAGAGTGGGGAGTTCATGAAAATGAAAACTTCTATTGACTGGCTGGAGGAAAAAAGAGGAGAAAAGAACATTGTCGGAATGTTTCGTATGTAACCTGTGCAATGCGAGAACCAATTAACATGAACGAAAAACGATATTGGAGGAAAATGAAGAAATCTGGTAACCTTGGTGACGAAGGGAATGTGAAGCCCCCCTCTTTACTCCTCAAGTAATGTCTTAGCATCAGTTTTGCAAAATTCTTGCTTATGTAAGCAGCTTATGGTCCCTTTCGCCGACAATAACGTGGAAAATAAAAACAAAAAATAAGTTATCAAGGATCCGCCATTTCCAATAGTCATTAATAAGTAGGTCAAAACCGTATATTAAAACTTGTTATTTCGCTCTAATATCTGAAAAAATGTAATCCTTTACAAAACTCACGTGAGGAAAGGGTAATACACTCTGTACTGAGATCGGAAAAGCTCTGTATTCAGAGAAAACAAGACGCGTGATGCGCGATGACCGACCCTTCTTGTTGACTCGGCGCTTTCGCATTGGAGTATTTCGCCTTTTGCTTGTTTTTATGTGTTACTAATAAAAAGTAGGGCTTATATCACAATGGAAAAGTATTTAGGCAGTACAGTAAATTCATAATTATTTTTAAAACTGCGCACCGTTGAGATTAAACCGAGACAAGCGGCTATTCCGTCGGGAACACCGTACTCCGCCGCCGCGCGCGTCCCGGGCAGGCAGCGCAG